AAATATTTTAACTGTCAATATCATAAATGTTTAGTTTCCTTCTATAACGCCAATTATAAAAACTATATTTAAACATGAAAGCTTTGCGAGCAATAGTTTTGTGAACTGAATTTAACCCGGGTCGACATATTGCAAATATTTATTGGAAATTCGTAATTATTTCGGAATCGCGCCATTTGCCCATGCAGACAGACAGACAATCAAAATGCAAAAGCGTAAAAAAAGCCTTAAACTGTGAGCAAACAACGAAAACAAAGCCCAAAATGCTTGCCACATTTCGCGACCAGCAATTGAACAGCGAGCTAATCCGCCGTGGGCTATCCAACCCATATCCGCGCATATTCCAATAAAAGCGTTGCATCGTGCAAACACGCAAATATATTACGCTGAAAAACATAGCCAAGGCCAGCCAATATGAAAGCAATCTGCGACAGCAAATGGTTTGTGCAAATTTGTGTGCTGCTGGTCCTGGTTGTTATGCCCACCTGTCACATCCTTCGAGCCGAAAGCCAGGTGGTGGTGGGCGACATTCTGCTGGCGGCCGAGGAGGTGGCACCACGTCATCATGGCAGTCGCAGCGGCAATGGAAATGGCAATAGCTATGGCAATCATGCTGGCTGCGAGCACCTCCATCATCGTCAGCATCATCACCGGGGGAAGTATCACGGCCGGAAGCACAGACAGAGCCATTACGAGATTCTGCAACTGGAGCAGCGGCAGCAGCAGCTGGGCAAACACTGGCGTCAGTGGGTGAATCACTTGCAGTCGCCGGATTACGCCAACGATGATCCATTGCCGGATGGCAGGCATCCACATCCAACTCGCTCGAACGAAGGGCTGTCCTACGACCATTTCGATGTGGAGGACTACCAGCGGTATGCCAATATTGACCTGGCATCCCCTCGTTCCGGCCGTCATCGCGGCCGCCACTTGCCCCCGGGCATCCTAACCTTGAATGGGAGTGGGAAGCACCTGAGATCTCTGCCGGATTCGCTGAGCTTCCAGACGGATCGACTGTACGCCACCCAGCCGCAGAGGCACTGGCCCGTCAAGCGGGAGGCCATCGTGGAGGGCGACGTGATCCTGGGCGGCCTGATGATGGTCCACTCGCGCGAGGACAGCATCACCTGCGGCCCCATCATGCCGCAGGGCGGCATCCAGGCCCTCGAGGCCATGCTCTTCACAATCGACAGGATAAACCGTGAGCAGTTGCTGCCGAATATCACCCTCGGCGCCCACATCCTGGACGACTGCGACAAGGACTCGTATGGCCTCGAAATGGCCGTGGACTTTATCAAAGGTTAGTAGTTTGTGGGACTTCGTGTGGTCATTGTACAAATAAAAACAAGTTATTTCTAAAATAATTGTTAACAGGCTGCTACAAATTCATAGGGACATTATGTGCCATTTATACCTTTTATTTAGATGGCCAAAATTAAGTTCATAATAGTTTAGAACGAACATTATTGAATCATTTTGTTTTAATTTCATTTAAATTTTAAAGGAGGTAGGTTATTAACATAATCTCCCTATTATTAACATTTCTAACAAAGCCAACATCAAAAGACATGCTCAGATTTAAATAAATATATATAACTTGGTCACACCAACTGTAACAACCCAAACCACATCGATAAAAACCTCCGTGTGCAACAATGGCACAATAGAAAAAACAGCATTCTTTAAACCACTTCCACTATATATGCAATCCCACTGCAATTTGCATACAATTATCTCATTCCTACAAAGGAAAAGGATACTCATTAAAATATAATAAATGTACATAAATAAAAAAACAAAGAAATTGTTGTTGGGTTATCCTATGCGAGCTTAATTCTTAATTTGTTATTAAAAAAATCATAATAAAACAAACCCTAATGTTAAGATAAATACCTCACATTAACTTGAGAAAAATTGATTGAAAATGCAATTGGCTTAGTTAATTGGATATTTATGAATAATTTTCCTAATGCTTTTAAGGTCATTTTGAATCAGTTTGCCGCTGATGTGCTGCTCAGCGTACACATTGCGCATTCGCCACGTGAAACAGCCCATGTTGATGTTGGTATTTATATGCAAATTGTGTTTGCCTCGGGTTTTGCAACTTACTATATGTGGGCTTCGTTGTGAGAAAAAGTAGTTTCTGTTGGATTTTTAGTTTTAGTTGCAATACCGCATTTGTTGCGTTGTGGAAACAGCGGATGGATCCAGATTGCGTATTTATTCAGGCAAATGATAACCGAAATTACATTGCGGTATCTTCAGGATTTATGCTTCATGTATTGCATACGTTCGAAATAGAGTCATTATTCAGCAACGCAGCAAATCAGAGCATAAACATTTTCGATGTCTAAGTGTAAGTAAGTAAGTGTAACTTACCTCTTTTTTGGTAGTATAAAATACATCCACAAGCAGAGTAGGAAAAACTTTTACTAAGCTGGCGTCAAAGAATTCATTAGTTTCCAAATTAATAAATAAATTATGGGATTTCCCGACCAAAGATTGTAGCTCACTTGCCAACTGAATATGCATAATTCCCTTAAGACAAAACGGCGAGGCTTATGGAGTTTGTCCGAAGGAGGAGTATTCGAGGGAAGATCAAGGACACATAAAATGCCGCTTATTACTTTTATCGGGCCAAACAAAGAGGCGCACACACTCAGACTAGCGCACACACAAAACACAAACACACAAACACACACACACACACATAAACACACACAGCCAACGATCCATAATCAATTGGGCACAGAGCCAGCATCCTTGTCATCGTCCCTGAACACTTTCTAATCTCCATAATTTCATTATTTATGTGCGCGGCAAGGATTTATTTGAGCAACGTGCTGTGCTTCTCTATCTCTATCGCTCTCTCGTTTCCCCAACCGCATTCCCATCTCGCTCTTTGTTGCGTATGACGTATGAAAAATATAATTTTCCAAGTCACTGAATTATATTGACAGGATTAGGCAGGCCGTAAACTATACCGCTTCCGATGCCGATGCCGGCCTGCCTCGGTCGGTTACTCTGTCTATGCCTCACTGTACCGCACAGTCATCCCTTGTCCCCGTTCCCGTTTCCGTATTTTTTGGTTAATAATAATCTATTTTGGCATCGATGGTATGAACGAGTATGGCTATCCAGACCGAAGAGTTAATTAATTTGCACTTAAGCGCAGCTGTCAGCACTTAATATTGGTGGGCGTGGCAATACGCCCACCAATTTGGTAAGTTGTCTTGGGTATAGTGTTAATAATTTTCCTTTAAAAGTTCTGAATGAAAATCTTCCCTGCAGAGTTTTATCCCAACGTTTAATTTAACTAAATGTTACCGCCGTAATATAAATAATTAAGTATACCGCAAAAGTTTATATAAATCGGCCAAAGACAAATACGGCACCACTTATAAACATCGAAGTAATTGAGATCACGCCAGAGACCCAGCAGCAATTAAAAATTTTAAATTAAACAAGAAAGAAAGCAAACTTCGGCAAGCCGAAGTTCATATACCCTTGCAGCTATCGCAAGAATTAAATATTTTTGAAAACATTAAAATTATGATTTACTTGCGTATATGTTTAAAAACATTGAAGCTATGACGATTTGCAGCTTAATTATTTGATTGTTCTTTTATATATTTTTATTATTTGTATGGGAGCTATATGATATAGTCGTCCGATTTTGATGTAATTTAAACCATAATTCTAAAATATTTAACCATTGCTATATGTCGAAGAACTAAAAAAAAATTAAAAAACAGCAAAGTTATAATTTTTTTTCATTTATTTTTCCGATTGTTCCTATGGGAGCTATATGCTATAGTCGTCCGATTTTGATGAAATTTTAACCATAATTCTGAAATATTTACCCATTGCTATACGTCGAAGAACTAAACAAAAAATTAAAAAACAGCAAAGTTACAATTTTTTTTCAATTATTTTTCCGATTGTTCCTATGGGAGCTATATGCTATAGTCGTCCGATTTTGATGAAATTTAAACCATAATTCTGAAATATTTAACCATTGCTATATGTCGAAGAACTAAACAAAAAATTAAAAAACAGCAAAGTTATAATTTTTTTTCATTTATTATTCCGATTGTTCCTATGGGAGCTATATGCTATAGTCGTCCGATCCGGCTCGTTCCGACTTATATACTACCTGCAATAGAAAGACAACTTTTGGGAAAGTTTCATGCAGATAGCTTTAAAACTGAGAGACTAGTTCGCATATAAACGGACGGACAGACGGACAGACGGACAGACGGACAGACGGACGGACAGACGGACAGACGGACGGACAGACGGACATGGCTAGATCGACTCTACTAGTGATGCTGATCAAGAATATATATACTTTATAGGGTCGGAAACGTCTCCTTCACTGCGTTGCAAACTTCTGACTGAAATTATAATACCCTCTGCAAGGGTATAATAAAGTGCAACATTAATTTGTCAACCTATAACTGTTTCCTCTTTATAAAAACGGCACCTCAACACTAAAGTTGAAACCTTTTCTAACAGTGGCAACACGTCTACCAATTTTGGGTACTGCGGTAATATTTTACCTTCAAGATTTTGAAAGGAAAACTTTCTTGCAGCAGTTTAAGTTTGAAGTTTAAAGTTTAAAGTTTAAAGTCTCTAAGCTCAACATTTAACTTCAACTATATTTTTTATTTGTTCTTTGTTTTTAATAGATAGTAGACTTATAATTATTGTTAATTTTTGAATAGTTTTTATTTTTTTTTTCTTAGCTATGAATTCCCATAAAAGACCAAATTTAACTGTAAAATTATTGTGAATTCATGGATTCTCACGAAATGCTTTTGGCAAAATTGGCTTTTGTTATTGTCATATCAAGTGCATAATGCAATTTTCATGAAAATATATCATTGCCAGCTTAAAAACATTTTTATTTATCATTGCCAGCTTAAAAACATTTTTATTTGTATGAAAAGTGCTAGATACGGTTCACCTCAACTCGGGTTTGTCTTTGTTATTTTCAGGATCCATCAGCAATATTGACGATGCGGAATATCATTGCAACAAGACGCAAGTGCGGAAGGTCATTTCGGGGGTGGTCGGCGCCGCCTCCTCGGTCACATCAATACAAGTTGCCAATTTACTGCGGCTATTTCGAATTCCCCAGGTGAGTTTCTATGGTGGATCTGAAACTATTGCTACACATAACCGAACATGCGAAACCAGAAGGTCACTTCACAATAGCGAAGTCAGTTTTGTTTCTAGTTCAAATTTTACTTTCGCTCGCAGCTACAGATGTTTGCTAGTTTGACCAACAAAAGTTTTCTGTTTTTCGTAATTAAAATTTCCCAGAAGCCACATGGTAACTTTTGTAATGGTTCCTTTCTCCGAAGTGCCTGCACGTGCTACTAAATTCGTCGAATCCTGCAGGCCAACAAGCATATCAAAGTTCAGCGCTTTCACATACTATATAGCCAAACAGTAGCCCCTGGCACACAGTAAGTTTCTTTGATGTAGGGACACTCAGAAATCAAACAAACACAAAACTACATTTTCTAATTCAGGATTATTTGTAATTTCCAAATGGGAGTGGAAAAGAAAAATACGATAAATTTGATTTATTTGTAGAATGTACAGCATAAGTAGCAGAAACGAAAAAAATATGATGATAAATAGACCATGAAATTGTTAAGTTAAATAACTGCAGTTTAACAAATGTTCAGGGTATTCAAGAAATTCTAATCAATTCTTCCAATTTTTTTGGGTTGCCCATAAAGGCGAAGAAAGAAATGTTACAAGCTGTCATTAGCTTTACAGCAGGAAACAAACTAGTAGTTTTTAAATCACGTGCTCGAAGTTAAGGGAGATTAAGTGGCCGGTGCTGCAGTTGCAACTACGTGAGCCGGAGCCAAAAGTCAATGCGCGACGAGCGCCAAAGAAGCCAATTGCCAGATCCTTGGTCCATGTGTACTGGATGCCATAAAACGCACACGGAGGAGCAGCAGCAGATGTATGCAGGCCCAGCCTGGCGTCCCCGAAGAGAGCTCATAAATCAGCCATAAACATTTGATTACATTTTGCTTGTGCACCAGGATTCCAGGGCCTGTATAAAAGTTATTTTCCAAAGAATTTTTCGTGTTCTGCTATTGAAATTGCGGTCGATAGCGGCTTAGACAGTTTAATTTGGCCCAGCGGAAATTGGTTGCATTTCAATATATAGACAACAACAACATATGAATAATGGCCAAATTTGAATTAAAAGTTGGCATAGCCAGTATTTAAAGGCTTATCTTAATCTAAAAAGCCATATTTTACTTGTTTTAATTAAGCAATTAAGAGTACATCCTCATACCAACTTGCTTCTTAAATTATTTTGGTAAAGTTACCAAAGCTAATGCATTTATTTATATACTTAAAACATGTATGGAAAATCGGTTAAGCAGAACTAGAGATAAAAAATAAAATTGGCATAAAAACAGGTGAAATACGTTTTTTGTACTTGAAAAAAAAAGTTCTGCACTGAAAAAACAAGGTTCGATCACTGGAGGATTTCATCAACTTAAATTTGTAAACCAGTGTATTCATCTTGAGTATTAACACTTTTTGGAATAAACTTAAACGGATTAAAGGATCAACTTGAGTGTTTTAAGAGGACATGAACTATTTATTTATTCAAACGTTTATCTTAGCCTTAAATTACAACTTTAAATTGAAGATTTGTCTTTTGCCTTACACCGTTCAATAAGTACTTGTTTCAATTTAACATTGAGAATTTGTAAATCATCAACTAAATTGGGCACAAATATTGTGTTAATAGTCAGTACATTTCTAGTACTTTAACATGAGCACTTGACAAGTAATCAAACACTTAAGTGGAAAACTGTTGACTAATGGTAATGACACTTCGTTACAAACCAAGTAGTTCATTAAGCACTTGCCGTTGACTTGACTCGCCAACGACGTCTTTACATTAGGACTGCACACATTTCTTCGCCAGAATGCATGTGGGTGAATCCATTTCCAAACCGGTGGGTTAATGTGTGCGTGAAATTGGTTTCCGTGCTTTAACCAAGTTATCCCAGTTGGCCTTTTGCAGCTGCAGTCCAAGCAGATGATTTTTGCAAAGTAATGCCATGCAATGTTTTCTTTCGACTGCTGCATTGTTTGTGGTTTCTCAAAAAGAGCTTAAAGGGGGGAAAATATGGATGTGTTCATGCTGGTAAAGAAGCTTACCAAAGTGTTTACAAAACATACGGCCAAGAGCAAGTGAGAAATAACATGAACATTAAATGCGTAAACCTTAAAGTGAAAATGGTTGTTACATAGAAAAACACACCCGCAACTATATTCATTCCTCTGTGAGCTGTTTTACGGAGTCAACGCTACAGCTTTTCAGGAAAAATATTTGTGCTTCAGAAGAAAAACGAAAACCCCCTCATCTCTCTGTTTTTTTTACCAGGTATCCTACTTCTCGACCAGCCCCGAGCTGAGCAACAAACAGCGGTTCGAGTACTTTTCCCGCACTATTCCCTCGGATCACTACCAGGTGAAGGCCATGGTCGAGATTGTCATGCGGATGGGCTGGAGCTACGTCTCAATTATCTACGAGGAAAGCAATTACGGTATCAAGGTGGGTACTCCACTGTTACCGAGCTCTTTGATAAAGAATAACAATCAAGGGGATAAGTCAGTAGTTCAGTTAAGTAGCTTAAGAAATACTGAAGCAGGTCTGACAAATGTATTTCTGCGTTCCTTGAAAAAACAACTTACCTTTAGATAATTTTACATGTGAATAAATACTTCTTTAAATATTTTTGACTCAACGATTTCATTCATAATAATTACAGCAATTTTTAAGTAATTTAAAACTGAAACCAAGGATGTTAATTAATAATTAACTCATTATTTTTGACCAAAAATAGTTATTGTGGTCCAATACAACACAAATTACAATGGCAACGGTACCTTTTAAATGACATAAATATGTGTTTAGAAAGTGCAAAGTGTACACTATCGTAAATGGCTTTGTGTTTTATGATAATTCGACTTTTGTGTAAGTGGTTTACATTTTAAGTGAATGCATGGTACCAACGTGTACAAACAAGTTTACCTTTCCCATCACTGCATATGGTTTTTTATTGCTCACCCAACATTAAAATGGTTCTTACCCCCCAAACAGGCTTTCGAGGAACTGGAGGAGCTCTTGGCAAGGCACAACATTTGTATTGCCATCAAGGAGAAGCTGGTGAAGGATTCGGGAGTGGCCGAGGACATCGCGTACGATAATATCGTGCAGAAGCTGTTGACGAAGCCGCGGGCCCGAGGTATGCAAAAAATTGAGAAGGGAGAAAGGAGAAGGGTAAAGTAAATTTCAAACCGGAAAAGCAACTGAAGTCTGGCAGTTAAATTCCTATTTTAAATGAAAATGTCAAAGAAGTACGCATCCCAAATGCGAAAGGAGAAGCGTTTCGCAACGCCCAAATGAATGCGGTCCGCAGTCGTGAACTATGGGTTTTCGGGTGGGTGTCGCGAGCCCCGGAAATTGTGCAAATTAAATGAAAATATTTTTAAAAATCCCTCGCCGTCCCGCCTTTGTTCCATTTATCCCAGCGGCAACTTAAAAAGTTCATGCCACAGCAAACTGAAAAAGTTGGTGACAAACAAATTGGGAGATAGCTCTCCAAAAGTAGACAAAATGATCAGCCAATATTGTGGTGGCGGAAAAAATGTGTAAATTTGTTATGATCGAGAGTAAAACCCCTTGCCATTGTTCAATAAAAGTGCTTGACAATCGTGAAGTTGGGAGAATAACACCATTTTTCTGGCCTGGCAAGGCAATTAAATCATAAAAACAAAAACAAAAAAATAAAAACAAAATTATTCGGAACGTTTTTTCAAGCTTAATTTAAATGGAAACGATTTTCTCCGCTGTTCACTGTTAATTATACGCCCTGAGAGGCGGAGTTTGTCAATCAATTCAACTTTAGACTTTTTGTTTTGTAATCCCTTGCCAAATATTAATCAACTGTCAGTTACAGATACTGTAAAGAAATATATTAAAAATAATTACCGCCTAAACCTTTAGTGCCCATCATTAATCAGCACCGTAGAGGGGTGATGGAAGGCAGGGTCGTGCCCGCCAATAAAAAGCACACGGGGGCCGACCAATAACAATTGACTTTTGTCTGGCAAACAATATTTGATTTACATAAATGTGCCATCAGGAGTCGTGAAGCAAGGGCCTACCCACGAAAAGGGTTCCTCGGCCATCATTATTTATTGTGATTTGTGATTTGACGCCGTTTACTGTTCGCTCCCTCGTAACGATTAATCAACTTGACAAAGTATTTTCTTTGGCATCAGTTGTTTAATTTTGCATATCGAGGGTTCGTGTTCGGCATCGAGTTGGGTCTCTGAAAAATGATGCTCCGACGGATCCGTAACTGCGGCTGGTAACTGCCGTCGAGGGTGAACTTTACGCTTGTCAGGAAGCCCACACATGTGTCACCTCGGATCGGGGCCAAATGGAATGTGGGTGGAGGAAGCCGACATGTTTTTCCTTTTTATCGCACTTGTGCCTGAGTTGATGGGATTTACGGAGTACATGGCAGGTTCCTACTCGTTTTAGAACTTAAAGTTTCCCCATTAATCTGCATAAGTATCCAACAGAACGGGCTCACTAATTTAATTTGATACCCCCTTCTAAGCACACACAGGGTACTTGACTAGTTTATACAACCACACGAAGAAGTCGTTTGAGTGGCAGTCTAAGGCAGAGTGAAAATCCAAGGAAAATGTCCCTCACTTCACAAGAGTATCGACAAGATTTCCTGCTTTTGCCGCCGCTGCCTTTGATTAAGATTCCGTTCCTTTGTCTTCGAGTAGCCGGAGGAGCAGTGGCAAGTCGATACCGAAACACGTTGAAGGGGCAAAAAAATTATGGACAAGACAAAAAACCCTCATGGCCGTGATCGATATAAAGTGCCAACTGCAGCTCACGTACTTATAAAGACTTGAGACAAAGCGGGACAATAAAGGGAGCAGTATTTGGGAAAATACAGCCAACAGTGTTTTATTGTCAATACCCAAATATAGGATACTTTGCGATTTAAGTGAGGGCTCAGCAATTAGGAGCTGTGTTATGCCATCTTGCCATTGATTCACATTGTTTGTGAACTTACATCTGGTGTTTATTGAATTTCAAAGCCAATTAATAGCTTGCAAAGTGAAGGGAAAAACCTTTGCCTGCCTACGAAAAGTCAGTATGCGATGGATTGTAAAGCATTGTTGTTTTCAGAATCAATATTCACATTTAAGACCTTCTGTCATTTAATATTTTAAGAACACTTCAAGCCTTTCATTACAAGAGCTCAATCAGCTCTTCACAAAAAAAAAAATATATATAAGAGCACTTGGGAGCTGCAGATTGTTTTTTTTTCCAAGTAAAGCCGCTTATTCATTATTGATTGCAATTAAAATTAATTTCTGCCTTTCCTGCTTTCGCATCCCTTTTATCTTTCGCTGCGTAGGGGCCATTATTTTTGGCTCGGACCAGGAGGTGCGGCAAGTGATGAGGGCGGTGCGGCGGGCAAATGCAACTGGTTCCTTTTCGTGGATCGGATCCGACGGCTGGAGTGCCCGGAATTTGGTGTCGGACGACTACGAGCCGGAGGTAAGTGAACTATTTCGTCAGCCTGGATGACGGACCGAAAATCATGAGCCTAAATGGGCGAGCAAAAAGGTTGTGATTAATGGTTTGGATTGTGGCCAAACACACACGCATTTACGTGGGCGTAACCGAAAAAAATGTATAAATTATGACGACCGGAATAAAACTTTCACACGCCTTTTCCCATGATGAATTATGGTTAAATCGAAATTAATCGTGTGTGCGTCTAATTAATTTGCCAAAACCTTTCAAGTCCAGATATGAGCGTGCTCAACCCTGGCCCTCACTTGAGATCAAGCTCATTAAGCATACGCCCCGTGCGTCCTGTGTCATCAACAGGTGGAAGGCACGTTGTCTGTGCAGCCGCAGGCGAACCCAGTGCGCGGATTCGAGGAGTACTTTCTCAGCCTGACGGTGGAAAACAACCAACGTAATCCCTGGTTTGTGGGTGAGTAAAGTTTAATTTCATTTTGGCTCACTTTAATCACTGACTTTTCATATAAATATCAAAGAAATCCAAATAGGGAAATCATAAGTAAAACAAAAGAAAATAAAAGATTATATCTAGCATAGTCTTAAGGTTTTGATTCGCATATCTTTTTGCTCGGTAGTCAAGCAAAAAACAAAAAGCTTAAGCTTAAGTACTAGGCTTTGTTCAGTAAAGATTTTGTGTCTTACTAAGTTGTTAACCATAGTTAAACTTTGCTTTGGCTGAGCAACAATTAATAATTAAAACGAATTTTTAACAAACTCATTAATGACCACCTTAAGTCTAACTGGCTTAATAAATTTTACAAATTTTCATATATCTCTCAGAATTCTGGGAAGATCACTTCCAGTGTCGATATCCCGGCAGTACCAGCACTCCATACAATAACTACACCAAACAGTGCACCAAAAAGGAGCGGCTTTCAAGGCAAAACACCGACTTTGAGGATCAGTTGCAGTTTGTCAGCGATGCGGTCATGGCATTTGCCTATGCCCTAAGGTAGGTTTATAAAATAAAAAAATAATAAATATAATAATAATAATAAGAACCACAAAATCACTTTAAAAATCAAAATATTTCCTCTTAGCCATTTATAAAGTGTGAAAAATTTAAACCTTTAGTTATATTTCGCGTAGCTTGGGCGTTAAATTGTTGTGGTTCTTGCAAAGCTGAATGTCGTTGCCTTCATCACGACATTAAAACTGAATATTAAAAAGTGTGTAATCAAATATCTTCAACCAGGGACATGCACCGCGACTTGTGCGGCGGAGGCCCTTCGCTCTGCGATGCCATGAAACCGACGAAGGGCGCTGATTTGCTCAAATATTTGCGTAAAGTGGAGTTCGAGGGTGAGTAGAAATTAGAAGCTATTCATTGACGAGTTGTGCGGGATAAAACTAAGTCAAATTAACGGAGAAACAGAAAACAGGATGCCAGACAAGCTCAAGTTGTAGTGCTCGCGTTTTATTCCCTCTGTTGGCAAGTGTTGCGCAAATAGCTTAAGTGGAAATTTCCTGGCAGTTGTGCCAAAAGCCACACTCACATACACGAATAGCCCACCAGGCGCATTGGCCATGCTTTCGAGTGGAAAATTGACTTGCTTGTCATCGTCATTGAACTCGATTGAAATTCAATAAATTACACAGACAGAGGGACGGCCCGAAGCCAAAGGCTCTGACTTACTGGCGCAGATTGTCAATTTTCTGATAGGGCAACCGGCTTTTGAAGGCGTGAAACCATAAACCCATTTAACTCCCCCTCTTCCCCCTTAAACCTTAAATTCCATCCGCAGGCCTCAGCGGCGATGAGTTCCGCTTCGACGGGAACGGCGACGGTCCGGCCCGCTACAACATCATCCACTTCAAGCAGTCGCAGGCGGGCCAGTACCACTGGGTCAAGGTGGGCGAGTACACGGAGGGCGAGCTGCGGCTCAATATGTCGGGTAAGAGTCAACACCCATCGCCATCCGGTCTTGCCAACTTTGGATTAAAGAAAAAGCAACAATTTTAAACTATTTTAACTAAACTAAAGTTTAGAAAACACGAATGGTGAACCCTTTAGGATTGAAGGTGCCACATATCTCACTTAACAGAATTTAATATCAATGTCCTTCCGATTTCTTTGAAGAAATTACGATAATTTGCCTTGCGTGCTCTTTTGGGCAACTTTTGTGATATATTTTCATTTTAAATTTATATAAACATTTTTTTTAACGTACCTCTCTACCTTAAATACTCTATATTACAATCGAACTTCTATAACTCGAACATTCGTAGCTTAAAGATTCAGCAAGTCAAAGTGGTTTTATTGGCAACACAATGTATAAATAGAGGTCAAATCAATTGAATAACTCGAAGTCTCCACAACTAGAAGGTATTGTGATGGCAAGCTAAGGAAGTTCTTTTTTACTTAAAAAGGATACCAAGGTAAAGAGTAAACTGCAAGGATATGAGAGGAAAGAGCAAAGGTTAATAAATTACACATTTGAATATATATACATATTTAATTAAGCTTTCAATATAGCTAACCTTAGTTTAATGATATAAAGGGAAAGTATAACCAAAGCCCTTATAAAAATGAGCTCCTTTTGGAGATTTTATAGCTGTTAGCGTATGCAGAAACTGACCAAGTTGGCATCATCGCATCCCCCCTTCCATGGACCACTAATTTTGATTTTATTACATCCGCTGCCGCAGAGGTGAAGTTCAAGCGGCTGAGTCCCAAGCCGCCGGAGTCCGTCTGCAGTCTGCCATGTCTGGTGGGCCAGGCCAAGAAGTACGTCGAGGGCGAGAGCTGCTGCTGGCACTGCTTCAATTGCACAACCTATCAAGTAAGTGATGCCCAGCTGGGCCCCTCAATTTATTTGTCGGCCCCTCCGCCGACAAGATTGAAATGTAGGGCCCAAGTGAATTATTCCGAAGCAAACGCGTCGAAAAAGATGTGAAATCGATGCGGAAAACAATTAAGTGGTCCGGCCTGAAAGAATGGCTGCAACTGAATGGCAAACACGCCGCCTTTGAGCTCGTCCCATCCATTTATCTAGTGTTCCTTTGTGCGGTGCGTCCATTGCAGATCCGCCACCCTGATGACGAGACCCACTGCAAGCTCTGCAAGCTGGGCACCCTTCCCGACGCCCACAAGCAGTACTGCCGCCCCATCCCGGAGATATATCTCAAACCTGGCTCCGCCTGGGCCATTGGCGCGATGGCGTTCAGTGCGACCGGCATCCTGGTAACGCTCTTTGTCATGGGCGTGTTTGTCAGGTGAGCGACCATGCATCGAAACCCATGATTAAAATTCCATAACTAAAGTATGTGGTTCTTAAGAGTAGCGCTATCAAAAATGTACAAAACAAAATTCCTTTTATTTGCTTTGTTCCTTTGTAATAATAATTTTAACATGTAAGGGTAGAGTAAACAACATTTTCCGAATCGAACAATTATTTCGGAGATTGTAGGATAGGAGAGTCAAACATAATCAGTGACTTTATCGCTTGTAGTCGAATATGCTTAAATGTGTGGCGCCATCTGTCGGTGGAATATTAATTTAAAATTGGTTAAATGAGTAAAGGGTATCCAATAGTCGGACCTTTGAACTAAATTAAATAAATCGAACAAGCTAAGCTAGACAACTTTTAACGATACCGCAAATCCATCGATATATGTTATGCTTACGATTTCCCTGCTATATTAATTGGCCCATTAAAAGTATTTGGCCACCAAGCAATTAAAAACTTTTCACCCATGCCTGGGCAAACTTTGACACAAAATTCATAAAACGAAGCCGTAATTGGCGCAAAGGCTCCTGTTAAAGTTGGCAAGTTTAGTAAAGCCAAGCCCTTCCTCTTTCACCCGTGGCAGGCACAACGACACGCCCATTGTGCGCGCATCGGGGCGGGAGCTGAGCTACATTCTGCTGGCCGGGATTTTCATGTGCTACGGTGTCACCTTTGCACTCGTCCTGAAGCCCACCAACATAGTGTGCGCCATTCAGCGGTGAGTGTGCAAATTGCCGGGAACGAGATGATGAGAGCGGAGTGTGAACTTTGTCCCCAATTTCCCCATAGGTTCGGTGTGGGCTTCTGCTTCACGGTCGTCTATGCTGCACTGCTGACCAAAACGAATCGCATCGCACGGATCTTCAAAGCGGGCAAACAGTCCGCCAAGCGGCCCTCCTTCATTAGTCCCAAGTCCCAGTTGGTAATCTGTGCATGCTTCGTTAGTGTGCAGGTGAGTTTGGATTTGAGCATCGGCGATGCGGAGTGCAGTTAGCAGCGCAATTTCATTATTCATACCATTTTCAGATACTCATCAACGGCGTTTGGATGGTTATTGCACCATCACATGCCATGCATCATTATCCCACACGCGAGGATAATTTACTCGTCTGCGACTCCTATATCGACGCCTCCTACATGATTGCGTTCTCGTATCCAATCTTCCTGATTGTAATTTGCACGGTCTACGCGGTACTCACTCGAAAGATTCCGGAGGCTTTCAACGAGTCGAAGCATATTGGTAATTAATTGAGATTTTTATTTTTATTTTAAGAAGCTCAGTATTTTCCCATAATTGGCAATGCCTGGAAGAGATCTTAATAAAATTTAACAAGTGTAATTAAAATGTGTCTAATAAAGACATCCCTTGTGCTTGCCCATGACCCTTGATTAAATTCACTGACACGCTTCACGTGGTCATTTTGTTCAACAGTATTTCATTAAAAATAAGCAGTGTAAAATCAAAATAAAACCCACATAATAACATGACTATAATTGCTTGCACAAACAAATTTATTTATGTATAACATAAGAAGAATTTAATTGATTCATTTAATTTACCTTATAAAAAATGCATTTCATGCATATTTATTATACGTCGTGGTGTCTTTTAACCATATTTTTTCAGGAATGCAAAAAACGTTGCTCTATGAATATTAAAAGAAATGAAATAAATATTATTATTATTGAAATGTAATTATTTTACAAAATCAAGAATATTATTTTCATAATATTCTCATTATATAAATGTATATGGTATTTTACCTTTTACAGGCTTCACCATGTACACCACCTGTGTGATTTGGCTGGCGTTTGTGCCGCTCTACTTCGGTACCGCCAACCACGTACCGCTGCGCATCACCAGTATGTCCGTGACCATCAGCTTGTCCGCCAGCGTGACCATCGCATGTCTCTTTTCGCCCAAGGTAAGTTGTGATAATTGGTGGTGGATGGGCTGGGCCACCATCGGTTGCGCTCCTCGCAAATTGGTGGCCAGGTCGAGTATTGGTAATTGCGTTATGCATTAATAATTGCGAATTTCAGTGGCAACTCGTCATATGATTTTGAGTGCAGCGAGCTGCCATGGGCCATTTTAATTCCATTTTATACCGTTTACAAGGAGCACGAGGACGAGTGGTTCATTAAAATGCAATAAGACGAATGGTGATAGGGGCCTAGGGGGTTATTTGCGATGTGTCGCCAACCATATTGGTTTTAACGTTTACTCCTCCTTGGGTCCTTTGCCATTTCATTATGTTTAATAGAGAAACAAGCTTAAATGTCAACAAGCCATGTCCTCGGAGGATGTTGAACTGGTCCTGATCTCCTCCTTTCGACGTGATACTTTTATGTTACTAAGCCCGGTTCCCCTTGCCACCATTTTTTTTAATACCCCCTGTTATAAGCCATTAAGAAGCAAGCAAACTGCAAGTCAAGCCAAATATAGACAGCCGTTTAAGTTTATGTACTTGATGATGCAGCAGGAGAAAGTCGGGTTACTTGCTGTTTACTCTGATATGCGACATCACGAAGGAAGCTAGCTTGAAGGCAACGATGGCATTGTTACATAAAACAAGATTTTGATATCAAAATCAAATGAGTCAATTTAAAAACTTTAAAAATATAATATTGACTTTCGGTAATTATGTTAAAAATGTGGTTTTTATTAGAAACATTTCGATAAATTCTGCAATCAAATACTTGCTTTTAAAAATGTATTTATTTTTTGTTTAAATTATGTATGATGCAGGAAAGGAGAAAAATTCAAATAAGCAATCAAGGGTTTCCATTAGATGAGTGTGTTTAAATAAATTTAGTATTCCTCAAATATTGTTCTTTGTTTGAATGTATGATTCAAAGACAGGCTTTCCGTTAGAGCACATTACATTTAAAGACAAGGTGGTAAAAATAGTTATTCAGATTGCAAATTGAACAAAGCACAAACAATCGTACATAAAGGTCCCAAAACCAACATGAATAGCAACACTTTACGGACACTGTCTGCACATTCCGGGTGCAAAGTGGCACAAAGCCCCAGGGAGCCGGAGGGCCATAAACACTCAGCACAGGGGCTATTATTAAATGTCGGACCGAATAGCATATTCGCATTGTCGCAGTGGCTGCTAACCGGGCCAACTGTCCGCTATCGTATGTCACCTAATGCACGGCTAGTCGGCGACAGGGAAAACACACTGTACGATACGTGAACATAGTACGAACACACAAACACACGAACACACGAGCACCGCACACCTTGAGCCATAAAACTGCAATTTACAATTGCTTGAGCCTGGGCAATAAAAGGCTGGCATGAATGCGGCATGCCACAAAGCGACTGGGGATCACTGGACTAAGAGGCAACAAACTAAAGCCCGGCCGTAAAGGTGCCAGCAGCCACGCCTCCTTCCGGAGGACAAAGGCGCCCCGAGGTGGTAAGCAATTTCGACTTCCGTCGACTGCCAACCGTCCCTTTCGCCGTCCGGTTTCACCTCAGTTTGTTTGTTTTCTTACTTCCCGCGTTTGTTTGCGCTGAAAACAATAACAAACGGCGTCCAAATGGCAGCCAAATAATGTCAAAGCACGGCGGAAATGACCGTGCGGCCGTACAGGCTACGTTACACAATGCTGCGTAACATAACGCAAATTGGAACGTAACGAGCACTGCAAACAATGCTTAATTGTTTTACCACACAGGTTACTTATGACCTCAAAAAATATTATTAGTTGCAGTAAAAGGTTTAAGCTCCTACGATATCTGAAATATTTTAGTCTAAGCAAAAAGGATGACAACGTTAAGAGCTTCTCTATTGAGTAGAACTTAGTATATCTTGCCTTTCATCATAGTTTATTAGAAAATTAAGTAAGTAAGTATTAAGTAAATATTAAGTTAGTATTAAAGAAAACATAAAAGGATAATTTGAAAAAAGCTTAAAGTTCAATTAATTAGATAAAAATACTTTTTAAATTGGTTATCCTGATAACATGGAAAAAATCATTTTAGTTACATTTAGTGTTTATTTTTATCACTAAATTGTTATGTTTCCTTTTGGCTTTTCCCCAAGTATTAATTTCAAATTGAAGGCGTTACTTTTCCTTTCTGTGTAAGCGACTAACTCGAGTCGTTGGCTTTTGTTTTGGCCCAAAATAACTGCTGGCCATCGAATCGGGAAATGGCTAATGACAATCGGATTCGGTTGGGAATTGGAACTTGGTAGCGGGCGTGGCAGGTCACGCGCTGACTTCTAATGAAAACCATAAGATTAGGGGCAACGAAATTGGATATCGCTTCCAAGCGGCCATTACATACAATGGGTCGTATGATTAATGTCTGATACGCCGCTGGCTCGTAGGTGGATACGGGAAATTAGCCTAATTGGAAAAACACACTGATTTTCTCACTCGAACGTACGCGTGTGTCGTTGCAGCTGTACATAATACTCATACGCCCCGAGCGCAACGTGCGCCAGAGCATGATGCCGCCGCGCTACGGCAACATGCACCGCACCGCCGGAACAGGACCCTCCTCCATGATGGCCGCCGCCGTGGTGACCGCCGCCACGTGTGCCCAGGAGGAGAAGATCCAAAAGCATATCACGCCCACGAACACAGGTGAGTGGGATAACACATACATTCTAGCATTTGCAGTTAGTCGGAAAATGGCAGCAAGCTTATTACTTCCCGCATCAATTTCACAGAGACGCCAATCAAACATATAAATTATTTAAAATGCTTTTACGAAGAAAAATTAGTTGGCATTATATTCATTAATAATCCACCAATAAATCACCTGATTAAAAGTGAGCTGCAATTACCATAATTCAATTCATTTTAATTCGTTTTAAACTATTATTTGTACATTGCAGTTGATTAAAATGGTTATAGCGAGGAATTTTTTTGCAAAGCAGAGATTTAACGATTTAAGTAATTAAAATATTAAATATTTTAAATATAAATGCTTGAGAAAATGTTGTTGAAATGTTAAAAGATTTTCTCACCTCCTTTTTTTTTTGAAAAGCTACTTAAAAGCTTAGCTTGTAATTGTTTAACAGAGCAAAAACTAAAATGAAAAATGTAATCATTTCATGAAATGCTAAAAACAGCTCAATGTATAGGTGATGTATAAAGTAGAAGCCAAAATGGTAAACAAATTACTAATTAAGGCCATATTATTTTATTTGGCATCAAAAATGGGATTGATTCATGTTTCCTTTTACATATTTAATAGGAATAAAAGCTTTGAAATTATTTAGTATTTATTTTTTTACTGGTTAAACGTTTGTTAAAGTAATCCGCCCCCCACAATTTGCAGAAAACTCGCTAAAGACGAAGAAATTGTGCGAGATGGCCACTCAGACGATATCCAGCATAATCACGTCGCTGGACATCAATGCGTACAATCAAATACCATATGCCGATCAATATGTGCCAAACAATGCCACAACGGCCACGACCACGCCCACCGATAAGGGTAGTGGCAACGGCAATAGCAACAGCAATGGGAGTAGCAACAGCAACGGCAACAGCAATGGCAACAGCAATAGCAATGACAATGGCGATGAGGTAGCAGAGCAAGTGGTGGCCAACAATAATAAAATCAATCAGAGGCAACATGGCCAGCCGGTGGTGGCATTCGCCATCACAACGTCTAACAATCACATATGCGGCCCAGCAGCAATCATAACAACAACAGTGGCAACTGGCGAAACAACAACAACAGAGGCTCTGGCGGCAACGATAACAACTCCATTGGCGGGGGGCAGTGTCACTGAATCGGAAACCGCATCCGTGCCGGCCAACAATGGCCATGGCAATGGAAGCCAACGTCCGCCGGTTTTGCAAACAAACTTATAGCTAAACGCACAGCAATTGCAGCAGCAGCTTCTGAAGGAGCAGCAGCGACAGCAAGCGGAGTTGCAGCAGCAGCAACATCAGCAGCAGCAACAGCAGCAGCAACCTGCAACACAAAGCTCTTCCAGCGATACTGGCAGCACGGGCAGCAGTAGTGCGGCAAAGAAGCGAGCTGCCATTCCCGTTTAGGCTGCCATCAGAGATTAGAGATTCCCTGCAACAATACGTAAGTTGAGTGTCTGTGCAAAAGGTCAGGGGTCAGGGAGCTCCAACGGAGGCCGACTCTTTTAAGTGTCCGCCAGGAAGAGAATTTATTACTGGCAGCCGTTCCACATAAATATTTTCAGTAGCCTCTCGTAAGATTACAGAACACCATTTTAATGGACATTTTCTTAGGCACTTTATTTCAACTAAAAACTAGCAAGAATTTGTTTGTTTTGTTTTAATCGTTTGGTTTAATAATTCAATTTTTAATTTGAGCGTTTTAACCCAATATTTAATTTCCCTATTTACTAAAATGCCAAAAAGTAATATATCCCTATTAATGGATTTAATTTAAATATTTTAACATATATATTCATACTTCTATATCGTTTTTTATTTATGTTATTCCGAGAGTTTCCCTCAAAAAATTGTAGCTCGAATTGTAGCTAGTCGGTAATGATAAATGGAGGTCAGATTTCAGCAGAACCGGAAAATATTTGTGTGGCACCTAAGAGTATATCCAGATTCTGATAGACACACTTGAGGCCAGAGTGAACTGACTAAGCAATGTCCCAAACAAAAGTCATCTTATTGAAAAACTTTCTCAAAATCTTCCCAATAACGAATGTGTTTTCCGCATTTTCAACGTCAGCACAAAACCATAAGATATACATTTAACGATAGCTTGTCATTCTTAAACTATTATTAAGCGTTTACCTCTTAAGCTTATCTAGTTTTCTAAGCGTTGTTTCAAGGCGTTCCGAAAGAAACCAAAAAAGTGAAAATGTGATATAATTTCAAAAATGTGTTTTCTACAAACGAAGTAAACTTACATACTATCTGAATAGAACATGTTATTCATAGGCTAAGTGAGGCAAGCACTGTACAGTGAGCACTGGGTAAAGAGGGATTTATTTTCCAGGGCGCAAATATGTTCCAAAAGGGCTGGAATCCAGCCCCTTTGCAATGTAGCAGCTAGGTAGAACAATTACAATTGCATTTATTGTGTTGTTTGAGCCCATCAACATGGTAGATTTAATTGTTGTCCAACCAAGATGTACATAAATTAGTAAAATTACGAACAAACTTCTAATTGTAGTTCAACCTTGATGTGAATAAAGAATAATGTTAATTGTGTGCAGCTTACAACTTCAAATAAGCTATCTCCAAAAATGCATAGTTAAATGTTTGTTATAGAACGTAAGTAATGCAAATCGTGTCTAGCCAAATCATGGGGTACAAAAATTAGCGAAATATATTCGTTTTCCGTGTCTGTGTGTTCAATGTAAATAATCGTTAACGAGAAGCCCATGGAACATCCAAGATTTGAATGTCTTTCGAATTAGTTACTTGATGTTTAGTTATTAATACTATTGACACAACAATACGCTAAATGTTATTTGGCTGCATGTGTATTTACGAATAAAGCAAGAAGAATATCAAAGAATCAAAAACACTTTCCATTTCAAGAAATCGACTTTTATTCGGTGGTTAAAACTAAGGCTTCCGCGGGATCAAGGCTCAAGGTTTTTGGGTCAAAACGAGTGCTGTTTGGAAATAAAATCAAATATTTAATGGAGGAATTTGTGTATAAAAGATATTTGTTCCACATACCCTTCTACTTTGGTGGAGTCAATACTTCTGATGAGAAGCTGCAAGCTCTCGTTACGATTCTTGTCGAACTGACTCAAGTCCACAGTTTTGGCCACCGTTCCAAAGTTAACAACACCCACAATGGTGGCTGAGTTGCGAAGGGATCTACGAAAGGTACGGTGAGTATAAGACAATCAACCACTGATCTAATTGCAATACTCACCGTTGAACTACGAATATGTCCTCCGAAATGGCCGCGTACTTCGTAGACCCGTTCTGCAGGGTCTTTGATGACTTCCGCAGGGCCACCAGAGCCTTGTAAATCTTCAGGTGCGACCGCTCCGCACTCAACTCCGTTTCCACGTTAACTGTCTCGTAGTCCGCCGCCAGTGGCAGCCAGGTGGTGGACCCGTTGGTGAACCCGGCATTGGTGCCCCCCGTCCACTGGAAAGGCGTTCGCTCCGGATCGCGAGTGTACTGCTCGTAGATGTCCGCGTTCGAGTTGCAGCCCCACGGATCGACGGTGTCCTCCCAGCTGATCTCGCCGTCGGTCATGCCGATCTCCTCGCCCTGGTAGGTGACACTGGCCCCAGGCAGGACCATCACCAGAATGTTCATGGCATCGATGTGCTCCTTTCCATACCGACTGGCGGCCCTCCGCTTGTCGTGGTTCCCCAGCTGGAGTAACAGGAGGCTTACACTTGGACCCAACACCTATTGTCCCCAACTTACCACCCAATTGGCCGTGCGACCTGCCGGCATGTTTGTCAGCCACAGGTCGATCGCCTCCTGCACGCTGCTGGCACTCAGGCCCTTTTGCTCCACCACCGTGATCAGGTTGAAGTTGAAGGGCAGGTGGGCTCCCTCGGTGCTCCGGTTGCCATAGAACTGGATGCTGAACCAAGCGGCTGAGTAGGTCTCGATGAGTAGGACGCTCGAGTCGCCGCCATGAATACGCTTGTGGTCGTCCAGCACGGTGCGCCACTGGTAGACCATGTCGATGGTCTCCGGCTGGTTCTCGATGTACGTGGTGGTCAGGTAGTTCCGGTCCTCCGCGTCCTCGGTGGCCCCACTGAGAACCTCGTCGGGAAACTGTCCCTCGGCATTGGGCAGCACCTCGAAGAGCGGGGGCAGGGCGTCGCATCGGAACCCGGCCACGCCCTCATTCAGCCAGTAGCGCAGCACCCGCTTCATCTGGTCCACCACCAACGGATTGCGGTAGTTGAGATCGGGCTGCTGGACGGCGAACTGGTGGAGGTAGTACTGCTGCCGCCGCTCGTTCCACTCCCAGGCACTGCCGCGGAAGTACTGCAGCCAGTTGGTGGGCGGTTGCCTCTTCCCCGTGGTGGCATTCACCTTCCCGTCGTGCCACACATAGTAGTCCTCGTAGCCCTTCTCGCGATTCACCGACTTCCGGAACCACTCACTCTCGTTGCTCGAGTGGTTGGGCACAAAGTCCAGGATGATCTTCAGGTCCAATTCGTTGGCCCGCTTTATTAGAGCCCTAAAATCATCGAGAGTTCCATACTCCGGCTGGATGTCAAAGAAGTCGGATATGTCGTAACCAAAGTCCACCATGGGGGAGGTGAAAATGGGCGACAGCCAGGCAGCCGTGACACCCAGGTCCTTGAGGTACTCCAGTTTGCTGGTGATGCCTTTCAAATCGCCGATGCCATCGCCATCGGAGTCTTTGAAGGAGCGCGGATAGATCTGGTAGAACTGGGCGGTTTGCCACCAATCCTTGCCCGGTTCGCTGGCGGAGCTCTGCAGCTGACAGCCCTCACAGTGCCAAATGGCCAGAAACAAGAGCGTTGGTAAGAGCGTTGTCAGCTCCATTGCCTCGGTCAAAGCAAAAAGTTTAGTGTTTGAGCAGGCGGCAGTTACGCGCTCTTTTATAGACACTCCACTCAGTCGGTTAGGTAAGCCCTCATAATGGAAATGTTTTGGTTGGGCCACACTGGGCGCACACATTGCATTGCCCGGAACTGTTATTGGAAAATTTCCAGCTGGAGTGGTTTTTCGAGTGTTTTGCTTGATGCTTCAACTACTCGATGTGGGGCTATCATTTAAGCCCCACTAATCCGCTGGAGGTACCCATTTTATTGTATAAAAGCCACAGCACTAGCTCCTCTGTCTATCAAGTAACAAAAATGCAAACAACGCGAGTGAATCTTTTCGGGCTACTGCTCTGTGGACTGGTTATCCTGGCTCAGAAAAACTGGGCCTGTGAAACCACGACGTCGGCCACTGCCACCAAGGACTGGTGGGAAAACGCCCAGTTCTATCAGATCTACCCGCGCTCCTTCATGGACTCCGACGGCGATGGCATTGGGGACTTGAACGGCATCACCAGCAAACTGGAGTACCTCAAGGACCTTGGGGTCACGGCTGCCTGGCTGTTGCCCATTTTCACCTCCCCCATGGTGGACTTTGGCTACGACATATCCGACTTCTTCGACATCCAGCCGGAGTATGGAACTTTGGACGACTTCAAAGCTCTAATAAAGCGGGCCAACGAATTGGACCTGAAGATCATCCTGGACTTTGTGCCCAACCACTCGAGCAATGAGAGTGAGTGGTTCCGGAAGTCGGTGAATCGCGAGAAGGGCTACGAGGACTACTACGTGTGGCACGACGGGAAGGTGAATGCCACTACCGGGGCCAGGGAACCGCCGTCCAACTGGCTGCAGGCCTTCCGCGGAAGCGCCTGGGAGTGGAGAGAGGAGCGGCAGCAGTACTACCTCCACCAGTTCGCAGTGCAGCAGGCCGATTTGAACTACCGCAATCCCCTGGTCGTGGAGCAGATGAAGCGGGTGCTGCGCTACTGGCTGGACCTCGGAGTGGCCGGGTTCCGGTGCGACGCCGTGCCCGTGCTCTTCGAGATCGAGCCGGATGCAGATGGGCAGTATGCCGACGAGGAGGTCAGTGGGCTTACGGAGGACGTGGAGGACCGCAAGTACCTGAAGAGCGATCTGATCGAGAACCGGCAGGAGACCATCGACATGGCCTACCAGTGGCGCGTGGTGATGGATGACTACCAACGCATCCACGGTGGCGACACGAGGGTGCTCCTGATCGAGACCTACGCCCCGCCCGCCTACACAATGCAGTTCTACGGCAATCGATCGGTGGCTGGTGCCCACCTGCCCTTCAACTTCAACCTGATCACGGTTCTGGCCAGCGATGGCTTCTCGGCGGGATCCATCAAGACTGCCGTGGACAACTGGCTGGACAATCTGCCTGCCGGACGCACGGCCAACTGGGTGGTAAGTTGGGCACATTAAGGTTATTATTAAAAAAAAAAGAATTTATTATCTTATTAATGAACCTGTCAGCTTGAACATATGTACAAAATATCCTATGATTCATTTACTTCCACAATTTTAAAAATGTATTTGGAAATTTAACGCGATCGAACTGAAAGTATTCATCTAGCCGATATTAAATTTTGTAATTTGTTTTTACCTTACATTTCCAGTAGTGATCAATATCTAAGAAACATCTTCTTCCAGATCGGAAATCACGATCAGCGACGGGCGGCCAGTCGCTATGGAGCGGCCAATGCGGATGCCATGAACATGCTGGTGATGGTTCTCCCCGGAGCCAGTGTCACCTACCAGGGCGAGGAGTTGGCCATGACGGATGGCGAGATCAGCTGGGCGGACACCCAGGACCCGGCGGCCTGCAACTCCAACTCGGACATCTATGAGCAGTTCACACGCGATCCCTCGCGAACTCCCTTCCAGTGGACGAGTGGCACCAACGCCGGGTTCTCCACGGCATCAAAGACCTGGCTACCACTGGCGGCGGACTACCAAACGGTGAATGTGGAGACGGAGACAGCTGCTCAGCGTTCCCACCTGAAGATCTACAAGTCGCTGGTGGAGCTGAGAAAATCCTCTTTGCCGCTGAAGAACGGATCCACCAGATACGGGGTTATCGGCGAGAATGTGTTTGTCGTAAAGCGGTAAGTTTAAATTTCCACTCGGATCTTAACATTTTTTATATGCTAATGGACCAGAAGACCAATTACCGAGAATGTGCCATGAAATAGTGCTATGGCGAACCAAATTAGATTCTTCTCCACAAGCTATGAACTAGGAGCTGCCTGGTCCATAGAATTCGCTCAAGTACTCGCCATAAACTGGGAAACCATTACCATTTCAGCTACCTGGCCGGCTCTGCATCCATAATTTATGTGGCCAACTTTGCCAGCAAGGGTGTCACTGTGAATTTATACGACTTCGACAAAACGCTGCCCACCCACTTGGCGCTCCTCATACGCAGCCTGCAGTCGGCCAAGTCGGAGGGGTGAGAAAGCAAGGGTCCGTCCCAATATTGACCATCTCACTGACCTCCTCACCTCCTTTCAGCGCACTGTTCGAGGTCACCGGACTGAGTCTGGCCGCCGGCGAGGCCCTGATATTGAGCGGCAGCAATTCTTCGCGGCTCGACTAAATGCCATTTCCCATCCGACGTACTTCAAACATACTGAGTCAGGCCACTCAATCGGTATTTATCTTCGGCTCAAAGCAAATATGCCGCGGCTTGCATAAATAAATATATAAGTGAAAAGCCAGACAAACAAACCACTCCACCGGAGAAAGACCGCACATATCCTGAAACCACCCCATCCACCCCATTGGTGGGGGTGGGAGATAATCTCAAGTGCCCGGCATACTCTTTTGATTCCCGCTCGGGGAAATGGGTACGCCATTTAAAGTGTTTACACACAAATTAAAGTCAAGCAAAAGTTCCCGGCCCCTTTTGCTAAGTATTTGGTGTTTTACACTGTGTGTGTGTTCTCTAGAGTCGAAGAATGTGTGTTACACAATGTAAATACAGACGACGACCAGGGACTGGGCCTAGAAAACGCCAGCATCGTTGGGGCTCTTTGAAGTCGAGACCGTCAAGAGGGGGACTTGATGAGTTTCACCCAGAGATCTGGGACAATTTTCATAGCGAGATTTATTACCAATCTCGGGAAATTGTGAAACAACCCTGCAGTATTTACTCGAGCCCCCAAAAGAGGGCAGCTGAAAGCGGAACTTCAATTGCGTTATAAATAATTAAATTGCGTTTACACATGGTAATTGGCATCACGTATACGCCCCAGTATCCCAAAGATTTTTAGCTTATGGAAACTTGCTCCGCGCGCACACGCACACACACACGATTTCTTGCGGCCATCTTAAGTGGGGCTAGCAAACGAAAGTAAAAAGGAAAGTCCGTCTAAAATAACAATTCCGTTAATGCTCAGTGAGTTTGGGTAATTACCTGATTCGAGTGGATTTCACGTGCGATTAGCTTGAGAAAAGTAACGAGATTGAATTGCGCAGCAAGAGCCAAATCTTTACAAAATATTTCCCCCCTTTAAATAATCTCGGACCCCTTCGATTTGTTCGATTTCACTTTGACGCTGAAAAATTAGCAGCCAGTGGGATGACTGGGCCGCAAAAATGAGTAAAGTGGCATCGTGTAAATGGCTGCGTGACCCGTCAGCCCATTAAAAAGGTCACAGACACGGCTCCGAGTGGCTGGGCCACTTTACCCCTGCCGCACGTGACCAGAAACCTTAAAAAAGTAAAAAGTGTGTATGAAATTGTGAAAACGAAAACCGCAGGACAAACAGCGATCCAATCGGAGGCCAGGTGGCAGACGGACAAAAAGCCTTCTGCCTTTTGTGCATTTCACTTTCGTTCAGATAATGAAGTTAATTTCCCACAGAGACGCAGCCACAATGTTTGACGAGGGCACGGCAAATGATTACATTTAAGATGATTCTCCCAGATTTACGCAGCTCGGACAAAAGTTGGCTCCCCTTTCCGATTGGAAAACTTTTAAAACGCATTAAGCTGGCTGTAATCTGCGAGAACTCGTGCCCCGAAAATCCGGAAGCAAGCCGAGCATCCCGGCACTATATCCTTGCACATTTAGTTACGAATTCGAGGCGACGGACAACGTTTGCATATTAATAATGCGAGGCTAATATTTGAGTTTGATTTCGGACTTTCGGCCCTTAACGAGCTGCGTTTGCTGTATTGTGGACTCTGATTTGGCACGTGCCCGTGGACGAGTTGGCGAGTTGTCCAGGTGATGCGGCAACCTAAAAGTTCATTTAATCGCTGGCCGCTCATTAATTGCACCGCAAACATGGCTCATAACTGGCGCCGAACGGGTTGGCACTGGCTCATTTGAATGGCTCTCACGTAGCTGCCTGTTTTTGGGGCATGATGCTGACGTTTTTGGGGGGAGGTTGGCCACTAATCCTGCCCGGATCCCCTCGATGACAGAACAATTGTCCCTGATCAACTTTCGCTTTGCGTTGTGCCACTGCGGCTGATGATGCAGCACTTCTGTTTTCAGTGATTTAAATTTTTCGGGGCTATGATGGTGCGAACTAAAAAAAAGGTGCTGCTTTTGACTTTCTGTCAAATTTCACTTCATTTTTATGGCTAAATTAAAAAGCTAACCAGTGTCCTGTCAAGTACGTATACCAGAGCCACACCCACACGCAAAAGCGAACGCCCACGCACATTCACTGCTGTTTGCCTCATTTCCGAGACACCTTCTGTGGTCCTTTGGTTTGTGTTTTTTGCTTTTTGCTTTTTGCGTGGCAGCAACGTTGCGTATGCGTGATTTGTGTGTCTTATCAATCACGTCTAATGGAATTTCTTTTTGCTGCCCCCGCCCTTCCTCTCCAAAAAGTCCCTGCCAAGCTTCTTCGACTCTTGAGCCAGGAGAAAGTTCCCTAATAATTTATAATAAGTTGGCCCAGCACGCGACCTTAAAATTGAAAAGTTTTCCAATGTCGTTCGCCCCAATGACTTATGTGCCCATATAACAAGCCACATTATCGATGTTCTTCGTGTACACCATGTATGTATTGTTCTTTTCAAACTTATGATTATGTAAACCCTAGACAGACTCCAAAATCAGGGCTGCGTATGGCTCCAGCGACAAGTTGCTCAGCGAAACGGCATCACTAATGAGAGGGGAGAAGGGGGATGATGGTTATGGTTAAGTTATTACGAAATGTAATTTAAGGGGGCTCGTGACTTACCCAACTGTGGCCTTGGCCTGCGGATTGAGCAGCTTGATCTTGTAGCTGCCGGTGGCGTACACAGCACTGGAAATGTCCAGTCCCGAGACAGCTGTGTCCAGCACATTGGCCACCAGCACGTAGGTGGCCTGCCCACTCAGAGATCTCTTGATGGCCACCACATTGTCACCCACACTCGCATATCGAGTGGCGCCCAACTGGAGGGTTTTCAGTTTGCGCAGCTCCACCAGCTGCTTGTACAGGCTCAAGTGGCTGGCACTCGTCGCACTCTCCGCCTTCGCATTTACGGTCACATAGTTCGGGTTGATGGGCAGCCAGGTGGTGGCGTTCGTGGAGAATCCCGCGTTGGCCTCGTCGCTCCACTGGAAGGGAGTGCGCGCGGGATCGCGGGTGAACTGCTCGTAGATCTGCGAGTTGGAATTGCAGGCCGCCGGATCTCGGCTGTCCTCCCAACTGATGTCCAGATCCGTCATGCCCAGCTCCTCGCCCTGGTACGTGATGCTCACACCGGGCAGGAACATCTGCAGCATGTTCATCAGATCGATGCGGTTCTCACCGTAGCGACTGCCCACCCGCCGCTGGTCATGGTTGCCCATCTGCAAAGGATTGTGGATAAGATCTCATGAAGATGGAGGCTATTGAACGTAACCCACCACCCAGTTGGCCGTTTGTCCGGCGGGCATCTGCGTCAGCCAGCTGTTGATGATCTTCACAAAGCCAGCCGCATTGAGCCGAGTGTTGTTCTTGTCGCCATTGCCGCCAGTGATGAACTGGAAGTTGAAGGGCATTTGCGCCCCCTTGGTGGTGCGATTGCCATAGAACTGCATCACGTAGTCCAGGCCCGAGTAGGTCTCCACCATGATAACCCGCGTGTCGCCGCCGTGGATGCGCTGGTAGTCGTCCAGCAGTGTGCGCCACTGGTACACCATCTCCACTGTTTCGCGCAGGTCCTGGGTGTAGATGTGCTTCAGGTAGGCGGACTCGTCCGGGTCGTCCGTGTAGCCACTCAGCGGCTCGTCGGGATAGCGGCCCTCGGCGTCGGGCAGAACCTCGAAGCACCAGGGCACCGCGTCCATGCGAAATCCGGCCACACCGCGATCCAACCAGTAGGTCAGCACGCGCTTCATCTGGGCCACCACGGCGGGATTGCGGTAGTTGAGATCCGGCTGCTTGACGGCGAACTGGTGGAGGTAGTACTGCTGCCGCTCCTCGTTCCACTCCCAGGCACTGCCGCGGAAGGCCTGCAGCCAGTTGGAGGGTGGCTCCCGTGCCCCAGTGGTGGCATTGGTGTAGCCATCGTGCCACATGTAGTAGTCCTCGTAGCCCTTCTCCCGCCTCACCGACCGCTGGAACCAGACGTTCTCGTCGCTCGAGTGGTTGGGCACAAAGTCCAGGATGATCTTGATGTTCCGCTTGTTGGCCTCCACGATCAGCTCGTCGAAGTCGTCGAGGGTGCCGTACTCGTCCTGGATGTCGTAGAAGTCGGAGATGTCGTAGCCAAAGTCCGCCATGGGCGACTTGTAGATGGGCGACAGCCAGGTGGCCGTCACGCCGATTTCCTTCAGGTAGTCCAGTTTGGAAATGATGCCCTGCAGGTCACCGATGCCGTCGCCATTGGAGTCCTTGTAGGAACGCGGATAGATCTGGTAGAACTGCGCCACCTGCCACCAATCTCTGGTGGTGTCCGTGCTGGTGGCGGCCCTCTCAAGGTCATCCACATCCACGGCGGCCGCTCGTCCAAGGGCGCAGTGTAGACCCAATAGGAGGAGAACCGCAACGATAAAGTTATTCAAACACGCCATGACTGACTGATCCACTGGCAGGTGGGAACCCGCTTTTATAGACCGCCTCCCCCAGAGATTTTTCCACCGATAAGTGCTCAAGTGCTTTGTCTTTATTGTGAGTATTTCATTACCAGCTAAGGAACTAGGTGGGAACTCATCGACCGCTCAGATAGAGGGCCACTTGAGCCAGCCAGAGATAAACTCCCAGGACGGGCAGAAAGCGAGTTTCTCCATTGGTGGCATAACTATAATATGAGGTGCTGGTCTCCAGGATCAGCGAATCCTTGGGCTGCAGTTGCAACGAGGTAGAGTTGATGAGGTCGCTGGAAGGGGTATACTCATTAGAGAGGATCTAAAATAAACTAGTGGCATGATAACAACCTACCCCACTTTGAATTGAGATCGCTCTGTGACCAGCACAACTTTCAGTTGAGGTGGCAAGTCGGGGAAGCTCTGCTGCAGATTAATTGTCTCCACGCCGTCGTAAATGTTCAGCAGGGTCAAGTAGGTCGAGTCATGCTCGAGATATCTGAGAAAAACAATTGTTATTACCGAACACAAACGAAGTCGCCTTATCTGTTACCTTTTCACGGCCAGCACTGCATCGCTGAGGGCCTTTACTTCAGTTTCGCCGCGCTGAAGGGTGTTCGACTGCTTCCGCAACTGCCAGAGCTGCTTGAAGACGTTCAGGTGACTGAGGGGCTTCTGCCGCTCCAGCTCCACGTTGACCAGCTTGTAGTCCAACCCGATGGGCAGCCAGGTCTTGCTGGCGTTGCTGAATCCCGCATCCGGGGCATCGGCCCACTGGAAGGGAGTGCGCTCCGGGTCGCGGGAGTACTGCTCATAGATGCTCGGATTGGTGTTGCAGGCGGAGGGGTCCACGGTGTCCTTCCACGAGATCCACACATCGGTCATGCCCAGCTCCTCGCCCTGGTAGGTGACACTGGCGCCGGGCAGCGTCGATGTGAGCATGTTCAGCATGTCCACCCGGTCGCGGCCCAAACGGGATCCAACTCGGGGTTTGTCGTGGTTGCCCAACTGCGGGGGGAATTAAGGTATTTTCATTGCAATTATTGTTGCTGGTTAAGTAGTTTTCGTTAACAAAAATTCTGGGTTAAATACGATTCTATGTTATCTAAAAGTTCATATATTGAAAACATTTTGGTACCTTTTTTAATTAAAAATATTCAAAGTAAATTAATTTTTATGATTTTGCTTTGCGGTCATACAAATTTTAAGCGGCTACTTCATTTGAAATAAAAATAGACTTTAAACAAAGAATATATTAAAATATGAATTTTGTAAAAAATTGCCGACAATCAACGTTTAAAGAAAATTGTTTTCTTGCATTAAATATGCAGTAGTGGTAGTTTTTAGTCACCATTTCAAAAATGCCATTTTATAAAAAGGGTTTAAAGTTTTAAGTTTGCATGCTAGAGTGCTTTGTCTTTTGTTTATCTCTGTCATTTGTTTTTGGATCTACTTGAAAACGTTCACAAGTACAAGAAAGTGTTCTAAACAATTTTTGAACAATTTTAAAGTTACACCTGGGGGTTAACCACTTATTATAGTAATGGACCACTTACCACCCAGTTGGCTGTGCGACCCTTTGGCATATGCTGCAGCCACTTGAGCACCGTTCCCTCGTAGGCATGGGCATTGGACGAGTTGGTCAGCTCGCTTATCAGCAGAAAGTTGAACGGCAGCTGAGCGCCCTCCGCCGTGGCATTGCCGTAGTACTGCATCACGATATCGATGGGTGAATAGGTCTCGGCCATCAAGATGCGCTCCTCGCCGCCGTGCTCCCGCTGATACGAGTCCAGCACCGCTCGCCACGAGTAGACCAGGTCAATGGTCTCCGGCTGGTCCACCGTGTAGATGTGCTGCAGATAGCCGTAGTCCTCGGGGTCGTTGTCCCAATCATTGCGCGGCTCGTCGCGGTATTGGTTCTGAGCGTCCGGCGCTATCTCGAACACGTGGGGCACAGCATCAATGCGAAAACCGGATACGCCCTTGGCCAGCCAAAATCTCAAAACGTTCTGCGATGAAGTGCCAGTCACAACGTTGCTTAGATTTGTATGATGATAAAAAAGAAATGTGGTTTTATACCCTTGCAGAGGGAGTAATAGTTTTGGTTCAAAGTTGCGGTTTGTTAAATGTTGTTGCTTAATAAAAAATTTGAGTATTTACTTCTGTCTTTTTCCTAATATGACAGTAATTAACTATGATATTATGAAAAATAAAAAAATATTGTATATACTCAAATTACATTCAAAATAATATCGCATTATAGTTGGGGTTGAATTTAATATGCGGGCAGTAAATTCAACAACTTTTTCGAGCCTCATCTATAAGTTTACGGTATATCTGCAAGGGTATTAAAACATCGGCTTTAGCGCCGAAGCTAGCTTCCGTTCTCGTTTAACATTTAAAGTGGAAACAAAGGATACTCACACTCATGGTCTCCCGCACTTTTGGATTGCGATAATTCAAATCGGGCTGCTTCTTCACAAACTGATGGAGGTAGTACTCCTGGCGACCCTCGTGCCACTGCCAAGCACTTCCCCGGAAAACACTGATCCAATTGGAGGGCGGATGCCGCTTGCCGTTCTCCATGCGACCAGGATGCCACACATAGAAGTCCTTAAACTCCGGATCACCCGCCGCCGAGCGCCGGAACCACTCGCACTCGTCACTCGAGTGGTTGGGCACAAAGTCCAGGATGATCTTGATGTCCAGCTTTTTGGCCACTTCCATCAGATGTTCAAAGTCCGCCATGGTGCCAAAAATCGGTGCGATCTCGGTGAAGTTGGCAATGTCGTAGCCAAAGTCAGCCATGGGCGAGGTGAAGATGGGCGACAACCAAGTGGCTGTGATGCCAATTTCCTTGAGGTAGGGCAGTTGCTCCGCAATGCCTGACAGATATAGCAAGTAAATAGTAAATACCTATCTATATGTTGGACTTTCTCTGCTCTTCTCACCATTTAGATCACCCACGCCATCGTCGTTGCTGTCTTTAAATGACCTTGGATAGATCTGATAGAAGGCGCCCGTCTGCCACCACTTAAGATCGGTGTCCCGATCTCCGATATTCACGACATCCGCATGGTAGTTGGGAAAGGGTTGGCTCCAAGCTAAGCAGATAACCTGGAGAAGTACCACAAACAGTGTCTCCAGGCGGTGTTTAATCATTTTGGACCGCTTATATTGCCCGATTAATATTATATTGGTCCGTTTAATCCAGATCTGCTCTGAGCAGGCACAGATTTGCGACTGGCGAAGAAATGCAAAGTAGAATTATGCAAGGCCCTTCCTTATATGAATGCCAAAGAGCGGGGGAGAGAAAAAAGCATGGGCTCAGACTCGAGTGTTTGTCAAAGTTGGGGGGCAAAATATGGTTTAAGTACAAAATTCTTTGTTCTTATATAAGAGCTTCATAGAGAGAAAATTACTAACTTATATTAAATATAGTAGAGGGGAATAAAATATAATTCTTATCTTACTTTTACTATTAGTACATATATTCCAAGTAAATATTCTGCCTTACAAAGTTTAAATATATATGGTTTTTGTAACCCCTAATAGCAGCATATTTGATATTCTCTACGCCAATGAACAGCATCCATATAATTTATTTTTAAACTGCGCACAGAATCGCGAGAAAAAAGAGAGAGTTCGCGAGTATAAAGATCGAGAGCATTGCGCACTGTTAACAGTTATCTGCGGTGGGCGATTCAGAGGGAAGGGTATTGGTTATCAGGGGAGAGGAACTTGAACGCTAGTCCCGTACGTTTTACAACTACTAATAGCAATCTTAGGCATTTTTCAATTAAACTTAAGACTTGCACTTCTCTTATAGATGAAAATATGTAAATATGTATGTATGTATATAAAATCTCATTGAAATAAACAGTTTTGAGGGATTTATCAAATCAAATAACTAGTAATGAATATTGGTCCCTTGGTCCCCACTGGTTTTTAAGAGTTTGTCATCAAAGTGAATCATAGTGCTTTTCATTGTTTATTCAATCACTGGGCGATAAACTAAGCCGTTGTTGTGGATCGCAGCACAATGGCCTCATGAGGCATCAGGGTGACGCTGCTGGCGGACAACTGGTCTCCAACCTTCTTGATGGACTTCTCGGTGACCAGGGCATACTGGAAGCTGGCGGGCAGGCTGCCGAACACATTGGACAGGTTCACATTCTCGATGGAGTCGTAGATGTTGAACAGCGAGATGTAGACGTAGTCGCCGCTCAGGTGTCTGCAAGAAATACGCATTTTGGTATAATACATTTGTTTGTTTGGTTTAATTTATTTTGTTACTTATTTAGTTTAAAGACCCTAAAGATGTCTTAGACTCTTTAAGAACGCCTACAAATTTTCTTAAACTTTGTTTTCAGAGAAAAACCAAATTATTAGTCCAATCATAATTTACAAATATCATATTTTCTCAAATATTTTTAGAAAACAAAGATGTTTCGAAGCATATCAATTTTTTATATATGTTTAAAGTAATCTTATCAATTTTGTTTCTAAAAAATGTTTCGCTTCGCTCTTATTGGTATTTATGGTTTGATATTTTATCTAAGCTATTAAAAAAAAAAAAAATAAGGGAGAGCTATCAATAAGTTAATTCTTTCAAACGGATGGTCTCAAACTCAAATAATAGCTTTACCTCTACTACTTTGCGTTGTCAATAGTAAATCTGTTACGTTTTCGTTTATATGTATATTCCAAGAAATATAAGAATTTCGACAGATGCATAGATTTAAGATGGCTATTAAACAAGCTACAGCAATAAAATTCTATAAGGTACTACGACAAGAATTTACTCACCGCTTGACAGCCAGGACGTAGTTGCTAACGGCCTTGATCTCGGCGGATCCCTCCTGAATGCTGGGCTCCTGGCGCAGCTGCTGCAGGCGCTTGAACACGTTCAGGTGGCTCAGGGACACTCCACGCTCGGTCTTCACGTTCCTCTGGCGATAGTCGGTAGACACCGGCAGCCAGGTGCTCTTGCCAGTGGTGAACCCGGCCATGGACTCGTCCGACCAGTGCATCGGCGTGCGGGCAGGGTCGCGGGAATTGTCCATGTAGTTGGACTCGTAGCCGTTGCAGGCCTGTGGGTCCACGGTGTCCTCCCAGGAAACGTAGCCGTCGAGCATGCCCAACTCCTCGCCGTTGTAGGTGATGCTGCAGCCGGGCAGGGTCAACAGCAGGATGTTGAAGAGATCAACTCGATCGGCACCGAAACGGGAACCCACGCGGTTCTTGTCGTGGTTGCCAATCTGTTCAATAAAATTAAGTGAATTAAGTCCATAATCTTGTAGTCCAGCTCTGATGATCAATTAAACCTACCACCCAGTTGGCGCTCTTGCCCTCGGGCATCAGATTGAGCCAGTTGTTAATCAAGTACTCGTAGTGATAGGCATCGGAGTCGCGGTGCAGATTGCTTATCAGCTGGAAGTTGAACGGTATCTGGGCACCGTCGGCGGTCTCGTTGCCATAATAATGCATGACGATCTCAATGGGCGACCAGGTCTCCACCATCAAAATGCTGAATAATACGAACTTTCAGACCCCTCAATTATGGTTTCGTTAATCGAATTACTCACCGCTCGTCGCCGCCATTGTCGGCCTGAAACTGCTCGAGGATTTGACGCCATTCGTAACTGTAAGTTATACAAATTCGATAGAGCTCCATGACTGATATTTAGCTATTTCAACTTACACCAGGTGAGGGGTCTCCGGCTGGTCCACGGTGTAGATCTTGTGGGTGTATCCGTACTCATCCGGGTCGTTGGTCCAATCGTTGCGTGGCTCATCCGGATAGTTGCCATTGGCATCGGCCTCGATCTCGAAGGCGTGGTAAATGGCATCCACGCGGAAGCCATCGACACCCTTCTCCAGCCAGAAACGCAGCACATTGTTCATCTCCTCGCGCACCACGGGATTGCGGAAGTTGAAGTCCGGCTGCTTCTTGTGGAACTGGTGCAGGTAGTACTCCTGCCGCCCTTCGTGCCACTCCCAGGCGCTTCCGCGGAACACGCTCACCCAGTTGGTAGGCGGACGGCGGGTGCCGTCGTCGTTGAGGAATCCCGGATGCCAGATGTAGTAGTCCTTGTACTCCTCCTCGCCGGCAGCCGAGCGCAGGAACCAGTCGCACTCGTCGCTGGAGTGATTGGGCACAAAGTCGAGGATGATCTTGACGCCCAGCTCCTTGGAGCGGGCGACCATCTCCTCGAAGTCCTCCATGGTTCCGAAAAGCGGATCCACCGCCTTGAAGTCGGAAATGTCATAACCGAAGTCGGCCATCGGCGACTTGAGGAAGGGCGACAGCCAGGTGGCCGTGACGCCGATCTCCTTCAGGTACTCCAGCTTTTCGGTGACTCCATTCAGGTCGCCGACTCCGTCGCCATCGGTGTCTTTGAAGGATCGTGGGTAGATCTGGTAGAAAGAAGCGGTCTTCCACCAGGGTGCCGCCGCATCGACGGCCAGAAGGCCAAGGCCCAACAGCAGAAACAGGCTAGTCCAAGTGGTCATTGCTAACTGTGTGAGTTGCGATTGGAATCGGTTTCTTATATACGGCGATAATCTAAGGGGCTTATCGTAACTGGCCCGAAAATCCATATGAGCACCTGGGGAAAATATATGACAAGACCTTTGGTTCTGGACTAAAAATAGGAGATATTGTTGTTGATGTTGTATGTGCCAGGCACCGAAATTCGCTAGGTTCTTCTCCCGCATGACCCCATATACCTTAACTCAAGTGAACTTATATCAAGTAATAGATATATTTGTTAACATCTGGACATCAAAACACGCCAGATTATTCCCCTAGATGCCCAAAGAAAGTAATGCAAATTAGAGCAAGCGATAAGATTTAAACACCTTAAGCCATTGCAGACAAAAACATCAGCTCACCAATGACCTACACTCACAAAGATTCGGTTATTGAATCATTTCAGGGCAAAACGTTATCACATCCTTGAACCCCCAAGTCTTCCACTTTTATTGGCCTAGTGCCCAATAGAAGTGAGCTAGTAAATTACCACCCGCTCCCCTGCGAAATCCAATAACCATTGTACGATTAGATATCGACATATGCAGTTGGTGTTCATTTGCCTGCCAATCTGTCTCATGATCTTCGGGCGTGAGCCAGGCCAAAACAGCCACGAAACGGGGTACAATAAATTCCACAGCCCCCCCGTATCATGGGAACCCATTGGTGGGGGATTGTAAACCTGCCAGCCGCATGGAGCTAATCAGAAATAGTGGGCTATATGGCCTGTGGTTTATCGCCGCCTTATCAACTGGCGCAATGGGCATAAATAGAGGCACTGCTTAATCCCTCTGGTCATTGGCAATCGATCGATTTAGTGGGAGCCATGTTCAAGTTGCTGGTGCTCTCATGCCTTTTGGCTTTGGCGCTGCCTTCGCTGGCGGAGGTTGGCTGGTGGAAGACGGGCCAGTTCTACCAGATCTACCCAAGATCTTTCAAGGATAGCGATGGCGATGGTGTGGGCGATCTCGTTGGTGAGTTTTGGTCTCAGTAATCACTTGAACAAGGTATTTACGCTACACCTTCGATCAGGAATTACGCAACAACTGGGTTACCTGAAGGAAATCGGCATCACCGCCACCTGGCTGTCCCCGATCTTCACCTCGCCCATGGCCGACTTCGGCTACGATGTGGCCGATCTGAAGAACATCGACCCCATCTTTGGCACCATGGCCGATTTCGAGGCACTGGTGGCCCGCGCCAAGGAGCTGGACATCAAGATCATCCTGGACTTTGTGCCCAACCACACGAGCGACGAGTGCGACTGGTTCATCCGGTCAGCGGCTGGCGAGGCGGAGTACAAGGATTTCTATGTGTGGCACACCGGCAAGGTGGTGAACGGCATCCGTCAGCCACCCACCAACTGGATCGGCGTGTTCCGTGGCTCCATGTGGACGTGGCACGAGGGTCGTCAGGCCTACTACCTGCATCAGTTCCACGCCAAGCAGCCCGACCTCAACTACCGCAACCCCAAGGTCGTCGAGGCCATGAAGGACGTGCTGCGCTTCTGGCTGCGCAAGGGAGCCTACGGCTTCCGCATCGATGCAGTGCCCCATGTGTACGAGGTTCCCGCCGACGCCGATGGCAACTGGCCGGATGAGCCCAGAAACGAGGCGGTGAGCGATCCCGAGGACTACACCTACCTGCAGCACATCTACACCACCAACCAGCCGGAGACCCTGGAGCTGGTCTACGCCTTCCGCGACGTGATCGAGGAGATCGACGCCGAACTGGGCGGCGACGACCGCGTCCTGCTCACCGAGGCCTACTCGCCTTTGGAGATCCTCATGCAGTACTACGGCAACGGCACCCACCGCGGCTCCCAGATCCCCTTCAACTTCGAGCTGCTGACCAAGATCAGCTACAGCTCCGACGCCTACCACTACTCGGAGCTGATCCACAACTGGCTGGACAACATGCCCGCCGGCCAGGTGGCCAACTGGGTGTTCGGCAACCACGACCAGAGTCGCATTGGCTCCCGCCTGGGCGCCGACCGCATCGATGCCGCCAACATGATCGTGATGGGCCTGCCCGGCGTGAGCGTGACCTACCAGGGCGAGGAGATGGGCATGACTGATGTGTGGATCAGCTGGGAGGACACCGTGGACCCGCAGGCCTGCCAGTCCAACGAGCAGGAGTTCGAGCGCCTCACCCGTGATCCCGTGCGCACTCCCTTCCAGTGGAGCGACGAGCAGAACGCTGGCTTCTCCAACGCCTCCGTCACCTGGCTGCCGGTGGCCAGTGACTACAAGCTGGTCAACGTGAAGAAGGAGCGGGGCGTGGCACTGAGCCACCTGAATGTCTACAAGCAGCTGCGGGCTCTGCGGGACGAGCCGACTTTGAAGCAGGGCGACGTCTCTGTCGTGGCCATCGGTCCCAATGTGCTGGCCTTCAAGCGGTAGGCTAAGGTCCCTACTAATCCCTGAAACCGAATACTCAAAGATACCTTTTTAACAGCTCCCTGGCTGGCCAGAAGTCCTACATCACCGTCGTCAACATCAACGATGATGTCGAGTCGATCAACTTGGACTCCGTCTTTACCTCCATCTCCACGCAACTGCAGTATGTGGTGGTGAACGACAAGAGTGCGCGTCGCAAGAAGTGAGTGCCAGTCTTAGATCCTCTATAGTACCCTAATTTTAATCTCCATCCACTTTGTTTCAGCGACCTCACCTTTGCCAACTCCGTGCTGTTGATGCCCAAGGAAGCCGTCGTGCTGAGCACAGTCTAGGCCAGCTCAATAGGTCTTTAATAAAGAATAAACAAATGACACACAATGTTCGCATAACTTCCTCATGGGGGTAGGGTTACTCAACGGGCGGCTTATCTTTGTGATAGCACCACAACATGTTGTATAAGCACTGATTAGAAAGTTTGAATAATAGTTATTTAATTTATTGGGCAATTGGGCTAGCAATCGTATCAGCATATTCCGCATCGAATTCGCATGACTATCGATCACGTTTGTTCCCAGATTAATCCATGTTTATTGTGCTAATTCAGCCTAATTCAGGGCCTAATTTCTAAGACTTCAAGTGGGCGAAGTAATTGGCACTCAAGGTTCAATTTGATATATGGCTGGGATCACACGCGGAGTGTAGCTGACTGGGTTTATCTTTATGGGGGACCCCAAAGCATTCGATACTGATTAACAGGAAATAAGCAAGGCATTTATTTGTTAAATAAATAATCGAAGTGGGGCGCATCACGCCAGCCAGCGTAGGACGACTGCTTCGTAGGGCATGAGAACGATTCTCTGCGACAGATCAACCTTTTGCCTGGGGATGTATCACAATTAGTTGGAAATCTAGTGGAGCAAGAGGCATCCTAAGCTTACCCCGCATAATGGGTGGAGTAGGCAGTGACCAGCACATACTCGTAGGTCTTGGAGGCCAGACCATCGATGATCTCCATGTCGTTGCCCAGGTTGACCAATATGCGGTACTCCTCGCTGTACTTGTTGGTGCTGGAATTGGAATTTAAGATATTAATTTCAGATATGGCAATGGTTTGAGTTAACCTACCGTACAATCTGCAGGACCTGTTCCGTGACCGCCGCGTAGGAGAAGCCTCCTTCCTCCTTGAAGGCCAAAAAGGCGGCACTGCTCTTCAGGGCCTGCAGTCCCTTGAAGATGTTCAGGGAGGACCTCGAGACGCCGCGCTCCGTCTGCACATTGTACCTCTGATACTCCGGACTCAGTGGCAGCCAGGTGCTCTCGCCCTCGGAGAAGTCGGCGTTCTTTCCCGGAGTCCACTGCATCGGCGTTCGCTCGCCATCCCGATCCTCGCAAGAGTCGCCCGTGCACTCCACGTCCACATTGGACATGCCGATCTCCTCGCCGTAGTAGGTGACCGAGGCACCAGGCAGGGCGTTCACGATCACATTCAGCAGGTCCACTTTGTGAGCACCCATGCGGTCGGCCACGCGCTTGGTGTCGTGATTGCCGACCACCCAGTTGGCCGTCTGGTGGTTCGTCCACATGGTCTGCATCCAGTAGTTGATGGATCCCACCACATCTTTGGCGGTGGAGTAGCCGCTTAGGTACATCAGCTGGAAGTTCATGGGCAGCTGGGTGCCCTGGTGGGTGCTGTTGCCGAAGTAGGCACTCAGGGTTTCCACGGAGGAGTAGGCCTCGGCCAGCAGCACCCTGGAGTCGCCGCCGTTGTCCGCTCGATACTTGTCCAAGAAGGCCCGCCACTCGTACATCAGATCCACCGTTGCCGGCTGATCCTTGGTGTAGATGTGGTCGTGGTAATCGTAGGCATTGGGATCACTGCCCCAGCCGCTGACCGGTTCGTCCGGATAGGAGCCATTCGCGAAGCGGTACTCATAGATGTGGGGCACCGCATCGATGCGGAACCCATCGACGCCGCGGTCCAGCCAGAACTTCAGGACGTCCAGCATGTGCTCCCTGACCATGGGATTGGTGAAATTGAGATCCGGCTGCTTCACCTGGAACTGGTGCAGGAAGTATTGCTGTCGCTTCTCATTCCACGTCCACATGGGTCCACCGAACACACTGACCCAGTTGGAGGGCGCCTCCCTCACACCCGTGTCCGCATTCAGCCTTCCGTCGTCCCACACGTAGAAGTCGTCGTAGCCCTCCTCGCGGTTCACCGACTTCTCGAACCACTCGTTTTCGTCGCTCGAATGGTTGGGTACAAAGTCCAAGATGATCTTCACGCCCAACGACTTGGCCTCCACGATCAGGGCATCGAAGTCGGCGAGGGTGCCGAAAATCGGGTCTATATCGTAGAAGTTGGAGATGTCGTAGCCGAAGTCTGACATGGGCGAGGTGAACACGGGCGACAGCCAGGTGGCCGTGATGCCAATCTCCTTGAGGTAGCCCAGCCTTGCGGTGATGCCCTTCAAGTCGCCGATGCCATCGCCATCGCTGTCCTGGAAGGAGCGGGGGTATATCTGATAGAGCGAGGCGTTCTCCCACCAATCGATGTCCGCACCACCGGCACCACCCAGCAGGGCGGTGGCCACGAGAAGGAGAGCCACCAGGCCGAGATGTGCCCACTGCGGCATTTCGATAGCGTTTGAGTGGGCCAAACTCAATTTGCTAATAACAATTGCCGGCCATGTAGCGATTGAGGAGCCGATAAGGCCACAATTGCTCCGACCAACGGGTAATCTGTCAATGTTTTATCGCATATTTGCTAGATTAAATAGCCGCGGGCTGGGCTTTTCCGCCTGCTCTTTTTATTGGATATTCCACTAAAGCGCGAAATGTCGTAAATTTGCAATAAAAATGTTAAATATGATACGGTGGGAAAATAAACCGATGACTGGTCTGAGATTCGCGTACTCGATCAATATCTTTAATTAATGTCTGCACTTAAGCGTGAGTAAGGGCAACTTCAAACGGTCACACAACGCATAGATTAATAGATTATTTTATATAATTTATACAAAGTTTTTTTTTATTTGTCAGCCAGTACCAAAGAGTTGGTTAGGTTATGGTTTAAAAACATATTTTAACAAAACTTGACTGAATTGAAATCAAAGTTCCCGACGCTCTCTCTGTTTAATTAATTAGGGCAGCCATCTACATTTCTGTTCTACTTGAATTATTAATATACTTTACTTGTACATTAGCGCTTAGCCAAAATAAATTCCCTCCCGCCATTTGCACTTTTTGGTAAATGCAGCTAATTAGTCAGTTTTCGCGCATCCCTATTTGAATTACTAAAGCGAAAATGGATTTAAATTTTAAAATGTCTAAAACAAAAAGAGAACACAATTTGTGTGTGGTATTTTTAAATCAGCTTCAACTGGATCCGGAGGGGACACGCCTGTAATTTCACGGTGTGTTTTTTCAAGTACTCTTACTCGTTTCCCCGCCCAGGGCAATCCACTCGAAGGGGTTTAATTCAATTACAATGCTCTCATGCCATTTGGTTATGCACAGGTGCTAACTCACTTTGTTCAGTCCTGCATCCCCCCATTCCATTTATCATCAAGCACGTAAGTAGGATAAAGGACATGCTATCTGCTGGGATTAGTTATTTTAAATCGATTCAACTGAAAACGGCTGACTCGGCTAACCATTCAAGTGTTCATACAAAACCAATTGGTTTCAGGCACCAGCAATTTTAATGCAGGAGTTAAACACCTTTTAAAACAAGAAAGTAAGCAAGTTTCGACATGCCGAAGTTACTGCAGTTATTGCTAAAATGAATTAGTCTTCAAAACAACTTAATTTCGATTATGTGTATACATATGTTAAAAACATTGAAGCTATAATGATTTTAAGCTTAATTAATTCTGAATTATTAATCCATTACTATGTCTAAAAGAACTAAAACAAATAATAGATAATAGATAGATAGAAGATAACATTTTTTTTTTTTTAACATTTCGATTGTTCCCATGCAAGTCGTCCGATTTTAATCAAACTTAAGCCCTATTTCAGTAACAATAAACAATTACTATATCCCGAAAAAATATGAAAAAACAGAAAAGTTATAATTGTATTTAAGTTTTGTCCCGATTATCCCGGAGCTATATGATATAACTGACCGATCCGGCTCGTTCCGACTTATATACTACCTGCAATAGAAAGACAACATTTGGAAAAGTTTCATGCAAATAGCTAAAAAACTGAGAGACTAGTTTGCGTAGAAACGGACGGACGAGCAGATGGACGAGCAGACGGACGGATAGACGGACTGGCCATGTCGACTCTGCTAGAGATGCTGATCAAGAATATATATACCTTATATGGTCGGAAATGTCTCCTTCATTGCGTTACAAACTTCTGACTGAAATAATAGCCTCTGGCAAGTTTATAAGCTTGAATCCTAAGCTGAATCGAATTTTATAATTCTATTTTTAATATTCTTATCTTAACTCAACTTTTTTTTTAATTAACACTTTATCACTTAAGTTACGATCCAAGTTAGTAGAGGTCAATGCTAGTTATCTCCTGAATTAGCTTTGACTCATTTAAAGAAGTAAACAAACAAGTGCTTCCCTAACGTTTTTCGCCGCGGCAATGAATTACTTAAGTTATCAAGAAAAACTTGACTTACGCTGATAATAGCACCAGTTTAGACAATATTGCAACAAATGATTATGTTTTGTCACGTTTAAAATGTCCCACAAATTTCACCAAGGTTATCTTAAAAACATTTTCACAACATTTTAGAGTGTAGTTATTAATCATGGCTTTCCAGCTTGCTGTTGGTTGCTTGTTGGCTGACTAATGTCCACTTCAACGCCCTACCATAACAAATGGCAGGCGACAAATCAAGTAAATCAGGAAGATACTTGTCACGAAAATCGGTATTTTTCCAGCAATCAAAGGCCATTTGGAAGAGGGTTAATCGCTTTACGTAAAGCTTAGCTGGGAGTATGAAAACAATGACAGTTTTGGTTCGCTGACTTGAGCACCCTGAGAACTCATGTGAGCTGTTTGCACAGCAATTCAAATGGCCACTACCACTCTAAGTGGGCCAGATCTCGATAGGAGCCGCCTTATCGAGCGGTATAAAAGGCAGCAGTCGGCCCCCCAGAGCGAACAAAACCGAACAAAATGCGCCCGCCATCAGCTGCGTGTCTATTCCTGGCCCTCGTTGGCCTCGTGGGAGCCACCGAGTGGTGGGAGAGTGGAAACTACTACCAGATCTACCCGCGCTCCTTCCGCGACTCCGACGGCGACGGCATTGGCGACCTCAACGGGGTCACCGAGAAGCTGCAGTACCTGAAGGACATCGGCTTCACGGCCACCTGGCTGTCGCCCATCTTCAAGTCGCCGATGGTGGACTTCGGCTACGACATCTCCGACTTCTACACCATCCAGCCGGAGTACGGCACCATGGAGGACTTCGAGCGCATGATCGCCAAGGCCAAGGAGGTGGGCATCCGGATCATCCTGGACTTCGTGCCCAACCACTCGAGCGACCAGAACGAGTGGTTCACCAAGTCGGTGAACGGCGACCCCGCCTACAAGGACTTCTACATCTGGCACGACGGCAAGATCAACAACGAGACCGGCGAGCGGGAGCCGCCGAGCAACTGGAACTCCGAGTTCCGCTACAGTGCCTGGGAGTGGAACGAGGTGCGCCAGCAGTACTACCTCCACCAGTTCGCCATCCAGCAGGCCGACCTCAACTACCGCAACCCGGCCGTGGTGAACGAGATGAAGAACGTGATCCGCTTTTGGCTGGGCAAGGGCGTCTCCGGGTTCCGCATCGACGCCGTGCCCTACCTGTTCGAGGTGGACCTGGACCGCTACAACCAGTATCCGGACGAGCCGCTGACCAACGACCCCGTGAGCTGCCCCGATCCGGACGACCACTGCTACACGCAGCACATCTACACGCAGGACCAGCCGGAGACCATTGACATGGTGTACCAGTGGCGCGAGCTGGTCGACGAGTTCCACAAGACGAACGGCGGCGACAAGCGACTGCTGATGACGGAGGCGTACACCAGTTTCGAGAACATCATCAGCTACTATGGGAACGGGGTGAGGAACGGCTCCCACATCCCCTTCAACTTTGACTTCCTCACGAGCATCAACAACGCCTCGAAGGCCGGCGACTATGTGGCGCACATCAAGAAGTGGATGGACGCCATGCCCGCCGGTGTGTATGCCAACTGGGTGCTGGGCAACCACGACAACAAGCGTGTGGCCTCCCGCTTCGGTGTCCAGCGCACCGACCTCATAAACATCCTGCTGCAGACGCTGCCCGGTCACGCGGTCACCTACAACGGCGAGGAGCTGGGCATGACCGACGTCTGGATCAGCTGGGAGGACACCGTGGACCCCAACGCCTGCAACTCGGACCCGGACAACTACTACGCCCGATCGAGGGACCCGGCGCGATCGCCCTACCAGTGGGACGCCTCCTCCAAAGCAGGTAAGATCTATTCATTACTATACTCTACTTTCAAATTTAAGCCAAGGAAATTTAGAGCTAACATATTTAGTTTACAGAGATTTTAATTATATTTCAATTTCTAACTAGCAGCTTTTACCTAAAGCGCAAAAAAATAATTAAAGTTTACTGAACAAGGGTAAAAACTTTACATTTGGCTAACAGAGATTTGTTTTTCCTTTGTAAGAGTAAACAAATATATTGGCTATTTTTAAGTAGCAACTTAAGAATGATTAGTAATCAATTAAATGCGCTATTTGACGTTCCCTATATATTCAGATAAGAAATAGGTATGCCATTCTTTCGTTACCATTATCTTAGTTGTGTACGTAGAATAGACAAGTGTTTTTGTAGATTGTGCTCCTTCAATGCTATCATTTTTAAAAAGTTATAAAAAACAAGTTAAATAAGAAAGACATGACCATTGAAGAAGACCTGTTCTTGATATTTAGTATAGATTTATTGTGTTTAATTTTATTTACATTCATTTTAAATTCCTGGTGAGAGTTTTTGGCTTGTATTTTCTGGTTACAAACTATATTGCTTAGCTATGTACTCAGAATAGACAAGTGTTTTAAGATATTGTAGACTTTAAACGCCAATCCATTTTGAATGAGAAATAACTATGAAGGTTTGAGGTTTAGAGAATCAATAATTATAATCCATTTACATTCCCTCAGGCTTCACCAGTGCCGATCACACCTGGCTGCCAGTGGCAGACGACTACAAGACCAACAATGCCCTCCAGCAGTTGCGTGCCCCTCGCTCCCACCTGCAGATCTTCAAGAAACTGGTGCGAGTCCGCAAGGAGCCATCCTTCCGCCAGGGAGAGCTCAACATTCAGGCCATCGACGACGACGTGATCATCTATTCGCGGTGAGTAAATTAGTCTAAGAGACAACAGATCGATTGGTGAACATTTCCCATTCAAACAGTCAAAAGGCCGATAGTGATCTCTACGTGATCATTCTCAACTTGGGCAGCACTGCCAAGACCCTGGACCTGACCAAGTACTATGGACTGGGCACCCAAGCGGAGGTCATCACCACATCCCTGAGCTCGCAGTACATCGATGGCGATGTCATCAAGCCCACGGAGTTCGTGGCCAATCCCTATGTGGGCACCGTTCTTGTGGCAGTCTAAGCTTATTTAATTCAATTAGGAGAAAATAAAGTAGCGACATAAAATGTAAAGTTAAAATGTATTAAGCCAAATTTCAAAAGGTTGTCTGCCTGAAAGTGTGCTGTTAATTTTTCACGAGTTATCACATTTAAAGCCTCTGCTTCATGCGCAAATGCAGGCCATTCTCAGACTTTAGAGTCATGGCAGCCGACAAAACCGGATCGTATTTATGGATATGCGCGTCGCGCTTCTTCTTCTCCGCCGGAGGAAGCCCCAGGGTCGTACTTATGTAACCGTCCTTGGAAACAAGTTCATCCAGAGCAGGCAAAACTTCAAAGTTGCGAATGATCTTTGACACCACGGTCTTGATCTCCAGCAAAGCGAACTTCTGGCCAATACAGTTTCGTGGACCGGCACTGAAGGGCACATACTCAAAAGGTCCTGGTTTCTCCAGCTCAAAGCGTTCGGGTCGGAATCTATGGGGATCCTTGAAAACACGATCATTGTAACCCAGCATGAGAAGGCCCAAGTTTAAGGTGGTGCCCTTGGGCACGATGTCGCCATCTAGAAATTCATCATTGAATACTTAAAGGGGTCCTACTTAAATGTACACCCCTTACCAATCACATAGTCTTTCTCCGTAAAGCGACCAATGAAAGGCACACTCGGATAAAGACGTTGCGCCTCCTTTATAAACAAATCCAAATATTTCATTTGGGAGATTTCCTGGAAGGTGGCATTCCGACCCAGCCCAGAATCGCCCATCACCTCGCATTGTTCGTTAAATAATTTTTTCTGTAGAGAGAAAACAATCAGTAAGATGAGTTTAAGCCTGAAAACTAAATTCACAAATAGATCACCTGCTCTTCTTGGTGTCTGGAGAGCAGGTAGACTGCAAACCCGATTCCGGATGTGGTTGTGTCGTGCCCCTCGAACATAAAAGTGGAAACCTCCTCATAAAGCTCTTGGGAAGTCAGGGGACGGCCGTCAACCGTGGACGAAAGAAGTGTATCCAAGAAGGCCATCTTTTTGCGCGAGAACTCATCACCTTGGCTGTGGCACTCAGCGCCAGAGTTTCGAGCTTCAATTCGCTTTGCTATAATGTCATTGGTAAAGTCCTGGAGGGTTTTCAAAGTTCTCCTGTAGGCTGGATATTCTGGAGCCAAGCGATAGAGCATTTCATTGCGCTTCCAAGGATTGAAAGCTCTCATCTTCATGTTGTAGCACATGCTAAGTAAGTAAAAAAAAAGAAGTGTAATAATTAAGTATTTTTATACATTGCATATGCAATATGAATAATACACTTTACTAACTCCTTGAAGGCCTGCACAACGGAGGAGCTTCGGTTTTCCATTGCATTTATGGACACGCCCATGGCAGTGTCGCAAATGACATCCAAGGTCAGATAGTGAGTCTCCTCCTGGAAGTCAACGATATTATCCCCATCCGCCACCTTCCTCAAGTGGTCAATGAACTTGCTGGAGTTCTCGTTCATCACCTCGTGGAAGTCCTGCAGGATGTTGAAGTGGAAGGCTGGGGTGATCATCTTGCGGTGCTTGTGCCATTTACTGCCGGTGCTGGTCAGAAGTCCTAGTCCCAGCCAGGGATGCGTGAGATCGTAGACATCGGACTTGGATATCAGTGTCTGACTGCTGAGTATAAACTATTATAGAATTCCATTATATCTTTATTGACATTTGGGGGCTCAGCCAGACAAACTCACTTCCATGTACTTGGGGCTAGTGACCATAATGTTCGAATAGTAACCTATCCAGTATCGAAAATTAGCCTGCTCATACTCATGCCACCAGCCGAAAAATCGGTTCAAAATCTCTAAGAATTGGAGACATAGACAAAAGATCATTAAACTTATTAATATTCCACACTTGGTGAGGCATAGTTACAATGTTTGATGTAAATGCCTTGCTTTGTCTTAAAATCACACTAATTTATCCAGATTAAGATTAAAGTCCCAATGTTATCATTGCACACTATGTTAGGCGATCAGACACCCAAGGTTCGATGGTATTTAGAGGGGACTTTGATCACCAGCTAAATAAGTCGCCGAGCCTAATGAAATTCATCTAGATTGCACAACCGCGAGTGGCATTCACCTGTGGGAGTCTTTCCCATCTGATGGGCATTACCCACCACTGGCAGCATTCTTGGCCCCTGGAACTTGTTTAGCATGCGCTTTCGTCGCAGTGATCCGAACTCGAAATAGGCCACCAAAAGCAGCGGAAGGCCGATGAAGGCGCACAACAGTATTGTCCACATTTTCGAGCGCGACCACAGACAACCGACCGCTGTGGCGAGTAAATCGCATTTGAGTGCAAAGTGGGAGACACTCTGGTTAAGTACTCCAACCAGTTGCGGCAAGTGTTGGGAGAGGTACTAGTACTAGAAATTCAATTTAGTGGTAACAAGCGAATTTGAAAATTAAATTGAATAAACATTAAATAAATACATATGTAAATATATATTATAACAAGTTTTTAAGATAAATAAAAATCTTTACCTAGGTAAGGTAAAGGTAGCCTCATATTTGTTTACTTAGGTAATATATAAGGTATCAAAAAAGTGTACCTAAGTACATACTTAGGTACAAGTATCTAGGTACCTCACAGCACTGGTCGCGGCACACAGCTCTCAGTCTCTCGCACTTGGAATCTCTCAAAAGGCCTATGACGACATTGTCTCCGCCAAATCGGGAAAGACTAATCTATGCGTTCGGCGTGACTAGACATTATGCTGCGAATCAATCTCTTGCTATAAAATATAAGCTGAGAAGTACTGCCTGAAGATTACAAGCCAAAGTCTGGATTTTAAATTTAATTAATGTGAACTCATTGGGACCATCTGTGTAGTCCAAAGGGTAACACATGTTATTGAACATTTGTTTTTTTTTTCTTCCTCGCTTTACTTCCCCTGATTAACAGTTTCTTATTAATTGTTTCCCTGGGGAAATCATATTTAAGCACATTTTAAGCACCAAACTTAACAGAGTTAGAGCTACACCTCTCGTGAGATCGAGACAGTTGGTTCTTAATGCCTCTCCTTCAGCCTAAGGTGAAGACCATTTTCGGATTTTAGGGTCAGAACAGCAGACAGAATCGGATCGTATTTGTGACGATGTGCATCCAGCTTCTTCCGCTCAGCAGGAGGTAGTCCCAGGGTAGTGTTTATGGAGCCATCCTTGGAAACCAGCTCATCCAGGGCAGGCAGTACCTCGAAGTTGCGAATGATCTTCGACACCACGGTCTTGATCTCCAGCAAAGCGAACTTCTGGCCAATACAGTTTCGTGGACCGGCACTGAAGGGTACATACTCAAAGGGTCCTGGTTTCTCTAGCTCAAAGCGTTCGGGACGGAATTTGTGGGGTTCCTTGAACACCTTTTCGTTGTAGCCCAGCATCACGATACCCAAGTTGAGGGTGGTGCCCTTGGGCACTAGATCGCCATCTATGGAGGATTATCGTTATTGAGAGTGTTCTACGAAAGTTTTGATTGCTCTTACCAATCACATAATCCTTATCCGTGAAGCGTCCAATAAAGGGTACACTAGGATAAAGACGCTGGGCCTCCTTGACGTACAAATCCAGGTATTTCATTTGGGAAATTTCCTGGAAGGTGGCATCGCGTCCCAAACCCGAGTCACCCATTATCTCGCGTTGCTCCTCAAACAGTTTGCGCTGTGTTACAAAGTGGAGTAAAGTACAGATTTTTACACATTGTGGCCCTTATTATATTGTATAACCTGTTCGTCTTGATGTCTGGACAGCAAGTAGACAGCAAATGACACTCCGGAAGTGGTGGTATCGTGTCCCTCGAACATGAAAGTCGACACCTCTTCGTACAGCTCCTTCGAAGTCAGAGGGCGACCATCGATGGTGGACGACAGCAGGGTGTCCAAAAAGGCCATTTTCTTGCGCGTGAACTCGTCACCTTGGCTGGTCGAAACTGCTCCCGATTTGTGAGCCGCAATGCGCCTTTCGATGATATCGTTGGTAAAGTCCTGGAGGGTCTTGAGAGTCCTTCTATAGGCGGGGTAATCGGGGGCCAACCGGTACAGTATCTCATTGCGCTTCAGGGGATGGAAGGCTCTCATGTTGATATTGTAGCACATGCTGTGGAGCACACAACAGTTTTAGAGCGAAAATAGCTTAAATCATCCAAACTTACTCTTTGAATGCCTGCACAATGGAGGAGTTTCGGTTTTCCATGGCATTGATGGACACACCCATCGCTGTGTCGCAAATAACGTCCAAGGTCAGATAGTGGGCCTGGTCCTGGAAGTCAAAGATACTGTCCCCGGCAGCCACCTTCTTCAAGTGCTTTATAAATTTGTTCGAATTCTCGTTCATCGTCTCATGGAAGTCCTGCAGGATGTTGAAGTGGAAGGCTGGGGTGATCATCTTGCGGTGCTTGTGCCATTTACTGCCGGTGCTGGTCAGAAGTCCAAGTCCCAACCAAGGATGCGTTAGTTGATAAATGTCGGACTTAGTGATCAGCTCTTGACTGCTGAATATGAACTAAAAAGGTAGGATAATTATAGTCATGATGACTACGACAATTAAAGAATCCCACAAACTCACCTCCAGGTGCTTAGAATTAGTGACCAACACATTGGAGTATGTTCCTATCCAGAAGACATAGTTGTCCTTTCCAAACTGATGCCACCAGGCAAATACCTGGTCGAGAATTTCTGTATAGACGTGAGAAAAAATCCATTATTAGGCATATCACGTATCACGATTCACTATCAGTATGCAACAAGTGTATTCCAATGGTTTTCATTGTTTCTTTTGACACGCGATTTTCAGTATTCTTAATTGCAACACTATATAATGCATATGTAAGTTATAAATTGCGCAACACAAGTCAAAGGTCTCTTGGTTATCTCTAATATTTCAGTCCTAGGCTACGATTAGCCTATAACTTCAAGTGGCAGTAGCTTCATTATCAGTTAACAGCCCAATTTTCCGGTTGTAAAGTCGCTGGCCCCAAGTAACCCAACTGGATTAGCGTTGTCGCTGAGCTAATTCGATGCGCAGTTACATCAGTCACAACGCCATTCGAAATGGGTAGTTTCGGGAGCATTCCCTTCGGATTTGTGCCATGGACACTTAAGCAAAACCAACCTGTGGGATTCTTGCCCATTTGATGGGCATTTCCCACGAGGGGCAGACCCCTGGGGCCTTTGTACTTGTTTAGCACTTTTCTCCGGCGGAACGTGGTCAACTCCAAGTAGGCAGCCACCAACAGCGGAAGGGCCAAAAAAACATACAACACAAGCCACATTTTCGATCGCGAGTATCAAAACAACCGGCGCGTTCGCGAAACACTCGGAATATGAGAGTTTTTTCGGGCAGACCCACGTATAAATACGAGAGTTATCAGGCAGCTCCTAGGCTCTCCCTCTCTTTTTCTAGCCGCTTTTCTGAACCAACAAAAGTTTCCCGAAAATAAGTAAATATTTATGTGCTTTCAGCATGACTGGCCGATTTAAAATCAGGTTTTTGAGAGATGAGTTTTTATTCAGGTCAATCATATAAAGACGCATATTTGCACTCAAATGTAGTACTGTGAAACTGTAATTTAGTCATAAATATTTTTTTACTAAAACAGCAAACAAATGATAAGCTCTATTAAAACTTCTCTCCGAAGAAAGTAAACAAAATGAATCACATATCTTAAACGTTGCATTTTGTCAACAGAGAGTTTTTAACGGTGTCTCTTTCGAAAAGTGAAGAGAGTGCGAAGAGCCTCAGAAAGAGAGTAACTTACCAAAAGCATTTTTGTTAGCTCATCAGCAACAAGCTTTAACATATTATACGCACAATGTAAAAATATACACTCTACTTAATGTTAACATTCAAATGTCGATAAGACCAAATGATCATGAGCAAAACTACTTTTACTTTTAGTGAATTTAAAATTTTACTTTTAATTCCAAAACTAAGAATAACATAGGAATTTATAGTCCTCGGCTGCAGATATACTACGATGGTATTCTTTATGGTACTGGAACTGGATAACCTAAATCGGTTAAACAAATCTGAAAAAATATAAAATTACACTTTAAAAAATTGTTTTGTACAAAAAATTCTTGTTCTTCTTTTCTGGAATCAGTCAGTTCAACTGCTCCGGAAAATTAAAGTTTGATCTACTCAGGATTAAAAAAAAAGTTTGTAAGCCAGTGTTATTATTTAAAAAAATGTATAGTGCATAATACATCTTCTTTTCATACCCCCTCATAATATAAAAAAACACACCTAAATGGTCAATTTTAAATGTCAGACTGCAATATCAGTTATTTTAAACACAGTTAGTTATTTAAACACATTCGCACAGGTAAGGTTTCTTAAGAGGTTTCTGGTTATAAAGCCAGTGGTACTAACTATCGTAATTCGTAAAAAAGGACCGTTTGTCGGCATCATAATTCTTATTACTTTTTACCATTGTATTGCATCCATATTGGGGACCCAATGACATTGAAAAAAATTCATATTTTTCAAGGTTTTCAAATAAAAAATCAATTACATTTTATTGGCCTTAGGGCTTTTTTTCTTGATTTAGGGGGCACATTTTTTTGGTGTATTAAAGATTGTCCTCAAGATATTGTTTGCATATGCAGCAAGATAATTTTATTTTTAACTCTTTTTGACACCATTGATTGATTTATGCCTACTTTTAAATGTATAATAACTTTTGTGTGTCAAAAGTTTTGTTTCAAATCTTATTTCAATATCAACGGCCGATTATCAGTTGTTTATTAACACTATATCTTGAGGCGGTATCAAATCAGCCTTTAGACCCACACGTCATCACTTTAGTGAGTCAATTCAGTGCGTGCAGGTAGCCCAGTATAATTCAATTTATCAATTATGGAAGGTAATCAAGCACTATGTTAATTGTGGTATTAATAAAGTTGCTTGTACCAATTGCAAATACTACAAACAAATGCGAAAAATATAGGTAGATAAGCTATCGATGGTGCTATCGGCTATGAAATTGGTCACCTAATAATCTGCTAAAGTTATACATGCCCAACCAGTCTGGACAGAATAGTGAACGTGAACAGTCGGGCGGCATTATGTTTCTAATAGCGATAGCCATTATTTTGGCCACCATTTTGGTGTTCAAGGGTGTGAAGATATTCAACTATATAGACCACATGGCTGGCATCATGGAGATGATACCAGGACCCACGCCATATCCCTTCGTGGGTAATCTTTTTCAGTTTGGTCTCAAGCCGGACGGTAAGTACTAGCTGCATAGCCTGCCTATATTTATGTACTCTTTAACTTTAATACGAAAGCCGCTTGTCTGATCGAGTCCCTTAGAACCGAAGGTCTTTGCAGCGATTCATTGCGTTCAATTCCCATTGGTATCGATTGCACATTTGGATTTCATCTCGAATTGTATCTGATTTCCTCAACATATTTATTGTAATATTTGCTCCAGCTTTCATCAAGTTCTGTGCGCATTTCCCAAGTGCCTTCCTTCGCACAGCTGAATAAATTCTGTCTGGTTTTTCCGCCCTTCCCTGTACGTGCCTAAAGTAATCATTTCAAATGCACAATGCCTTGGGGAAAAAAAAGCGATGCACTATACTTTTTTGATGATATCATTTTGCTTCTAGTGCTTTTCAATTGATGGCTGACTAACAAAAGCAGCACATTGTTATCTGGCTGCTATTATTTTGTTATTTGTAAAACAGTTTAGTTGAGAAAAAAAATTAGTGAATGCTAAAAATGCTTGTCCGACATTATTTTCTAGTGCATCACTGAAAGAGCAACAATTAATTAAAATAAATTTGCAACTGTGTATAAAGCCCGAATTGTTTTTCGAGTACTTAAGTAAGCAAGCGAACAATCAGGATATGTGCAACAGAGAGCCTGGCTTAACTAACAAAAGTTAACATACATTTTGGAAAACTTTAGTGCTCTGCAAACGAGGAACTCGGGGCTGATAATTAAAGTGGTCGTGCTTAAAAACTATTTTTGTCTCTGGCAGAATACCCCAAAAAGGTCTTGCAATATTGTCGGAAATACGATTTTCAAGGATTTCGTTCTCTGGTCTTCCTGCAGTACCACATGATGCTGAGTGATCCGGCGGAAATTCAGGTAAGTCCACTTCCATGTCAGCCCACTCAGCATCCAGTTTATTGTGTTTGACCTGCAGAACATTCTGTCAAGTTCATCGCTGCTTTACAAGGAGCACCTGTACTCCTTTTTGAGACCTTGGCTGGGTGACGGTCTGCTCACCAGTTCCGGTGCCCGTTGGCTGAAGCACCAGAAGCTCTACATCCCCGCCTTCGAAAGGCAGGCCATCGAGGGTTACCTGCGGGTGACTCATCGGACGGGCGAACAATTTGTCCAGAAGCTCGACGGTCTGTCGGCCACTCAGGAAATCTTCGATGCCCAGGAACTGGTTGCCAAGTGCACCCTGGATATTGTGTGCGGTAAGTGGAGGTGGACATGCTCATCGAACCCAAAGCTACATACTCAAACCAGCTAGGTTTCGCCAAACAATTTTGCATGCACAGCAAACAAAATATATGAAATTAATTGATTTCGAAGACAGGATATCTGCTAGGACTTTACTCTATTTAAAATTAAAAATATTTAAAAACATATTTTCTGTAAATAATAATTAACTAATTAATTAATTCATTAATTGGTAATTTAAACATAACAAGAACATTTAATATAATAAACCAAATGCAGACTTTTCAATTTTTCTTAATTTTATATTTAAATTTAATGCAGTAGTGATAAGTTCAAAACACATACGAAACACTGCTTCATTATGCCAGATAGGGTTGAAAGTTTAATGACAGTTAAATTTCCTCTCTGTACGGACGCCAAACTTTACACATTTGTCATGTCGTTTTTTGAGGCATAGTTTGGTACTTCGGGCGTTTCGCTCGTTTATTTTTTGTAATTTATTATGAACGTTTTATAAATAAGATTTATGGCATAGAAAATGGGTACAAGTGCCGCAGATTGTGCGGGCGGAAAAGTTTCGCGGTCGAGGTACTTGCCCTCGACGATACAGCACAGACTGCTGCACATTGTGGGGCAAATGATTTGAGGAATTTCCCTGTTAGCCGTTGGTAATTTATTGAGATTTTTTGGGATTCGTTCGGGTTCATTTAGCCTGCTCCTACTTCACTGCTTATCCTCTTTCCCCGCAGAAATCGCGACTGGCCAGGGCAGTAGCTCGCTGAATGGAGAGCCCTCGGATTTGCACGGCGCCATCAAGGAGTAAGTTCAAGCTAAGAAATCTCGGGCTTAAGCTCTCCAATTCCCCCCCTTTTCCCCCCGTTTCCCAGTTTGTGCGATGTGGTGCAGGAGCGCACCTTCAGCATTGTGAAGCGGTTCGATGCCTTGTTCCGACTTACCTCCTACTACTTGAAGCAGCGCCGAGCTCTGTCCCTCCTCCGCAGCGAACTAAATCGGGTGAGTTGTGGGTGAAGGAGGTGCCAGAATCGTTTAAAAATCAACAGTTTATCTCCTCGTAGATTATTGCGCAACGTCGACACAAGTTGGCCCTGGAAAATACAAGTCAGCCAGGGCAGTCAATAAATAAACCCTTCGTCGACGTTCTGCTTTCCGCGAAACTAGATGGCCGAGCCCTCAAGGAGCGGGAGATTATCGAGGAAATTTCCACCTTCATATTTACCGTAAGTCAAATAATTAATAAACCCATTAAAATGGAAAGCGAGTCTAGTTGGTTTTTTAAAATTCTTTATTTAATATTTGGTACCTTGCCGTATTTCAAATTTTAACATTATTATTCTGACACCAAAAGGTTGTTAGTTCTGATACTACGTTTCAAAAAAATAAATTCTAATGCACCCAAAAAAATCGAAAGGCCAACAAATTATATATTAAATTTTCCAAATATTAAATATTAAAGTAATCATATCATAAATATTTAATTTGGACAATCTGTATTTCCTATTGTAAAGATATGAATTAGCCAACAGAAATTTTCTATTACAGGGTCACGATCCTATAGCCGCCGCCATATCCTTCACCATGTATACTTTGTCCCGCCACTCGGAGATTCAGCAAAAGGCTTTTGAAGAACAGCAGCGCATCTTTGGCAATAACTTATCGGGAGAGGCAGACTTGATTTGCCTGGACAAGATGTACTACCTGGAGCTGATCATTCGAGAAACCCTGCGATTGTATCCATCTGTGCCGCTGATTGCCCGAACCAACCGCAAACCCATCGACATCAGTAAGTAGCGCCTGGAAAGTAGTTTCCCAAAAATATAAAACAAAATTAATTCAGATGGAACCAAGGTTGCCAAGCGGACCACGGTGATCATGTGTCTCATAGCCATGGGCTATAACGAAAAGTACTTCGACGATCCGTGCACCTTCCGCCCCGAGAGATTCGAGAATGCCAATGGAAATGTGGGCATCGAGGCTTTTAAGAGTGTGCCATTTAGTGCAGGCCCAAGGCGGTGCATTGGTAGGTGATATAGATATGTAGTTAACTGGCCGATTTATGTATTGACTTATCTCTGGGTACAGCTGAAAAGTTTGCCATGTACCAAATGAAGGCTCTGCTCTCACAGTTGGTGCGACGATTTGAAATCTTGCCGGCCGTAGATGGACTTCCCCCCGGAATCAACGACCATTCTCGCGAGGATTGTGTCCCACAGAGCGAATATGATCCAGTATTAAATATTCGAGTCACGCTGAAGTCGGAAAATGGCATTCAAATCAGACTGAAAAAGCGATGAGATTATCGATGACGCTTTTATAGTGCAATACCAAACTTTTAAATTATATTAATAAACTGCGACCATATGCCAGTCAATAAAAATTCAAGTTTTTTATTTTTACAAATTAAATTTATATATATTTTATCAAACCAATATGTTCCGTGTTTTGCCCGAGCCTGTTTCACATAGTTCACATCATCATTTTCCCGCAAATTGTCAAAGTTGTCTTGGCAAACAGTTCATGTTAATTTGCATGCTAATTAATATTCATTTCGAGCAGATGAACAGTTCGGATTTTATTTTATTGCACAACAAAATTCAGTTCACACAATCAATAAAAATTAAGTTTGCAGATACCGAGAATCAGAAGCTGAATGATATCACTTTCACTTTAACAGCCGTTCAAAAACATTTTTTCTATTTGTTCGGAAACATATATACAATTCGGATACCGAACAAATATTTCATTTCTGGACAAATTTAATCACATTCCCTCAATCAAGATTGATTGACCTCCAGAAATTAATCCAAGCTTGCATCTTTTATTTAATATAAAAGATAATTAAAATAAATATCACTAATAAATAAATTGAATTCCTTAGCTAAATGAAATGTTCTATGTGTGATCTCATTAATAAAAAATTAAAAATTTATTGTGATATGTAATAAAACAAGTGTCTACCTTCATCATAAACACTTTTATTTTCAACAACTTCTGCTTTTAACAAAACATTTAACCAAACATTTACTTGGGCAATGTTTAGTCTTAATTAGCGTATTACCTGATAATCCATATTAATTTTTGAGTAAATATCCAGTTTTGTTGTTTTATCATTGCATAATAATTTGAACACAACACAATTAATGAACAGTAAATGTGCAAAACCTGCGAGTTAGAAGCATAGGAACAACTTTATCTTAGTACTAGTTTTTGCATACCCTAAAGTTGTAAAATTAAAAACCTATGCTTTGTCAGTCTAATGAAACAGATAATTAATTTAGCTCAAAGATCTGGTACTCCCTTAGTAAATCGCTAATTAGACCGGTTATTGTTAGCTTAGATCAGTCAAGAAACATCCAGTCAGAGCGTGACAGTCTGGAACACATTTTACTGTCTCGATGCAAATAAATCAGGAGACCCAAACAACTCGAATTCCCGATAAACACCTGAGTAAATAACTTTTTTGCCAAAGAATATCAAATTTATTTCACGATTCGATAGTCAAACTTTTTAAGTCAGCATGCTGCTTTAAATTCTAAGGGTTGGAGGGAGGGTCAGATCGTCGAGAGCTGCTCCTCCCATTCGTGGTAGAGTCCTGGTCGGGTCGAGCGCCTATTCCTTGCTGGGATGGGCCTGGATGTAGGCGATGGCCTTGAGGATGGCCTCTGGGACTGGAGGGGGGTGGGCAGGAGGTCGCTCTGGGGCTGGTAGCCGTTCTCGTCGGCCTTGTAGCTGACACGGACGTGCTCGCCCTCGGGGGAAACCCACTCGAAGACGCCATCGATGTTTCCGTGCACATCTCCGGTGGCCGAGGAGGAAACTCCGTTGTCGAGGACCAGCTTGCTCACGAAGCCTTCGTGGCTCACATCGTTGACCAGCTCCTTGACCTCGGCATTCTCGTTGGCGGCCACCAGGGCGGCAAGGGCGCAGACAAGCAGCTAGGATATTCCAGGATTACTCATCGAACTATCATAAATCGATCTCTAGATACTTACGATCTTGAACATTGTGATTTGGTTTGGTTGTCAGACTAGAGAACTCGTGGGACTGATGCCGATTGGGGATCGATTCCGCTTTTTATACGCAGAAGACGACCAACGAAACACGAAGCTGCTGCAACCCGTTTCTAATTAACATTTCGGCCAGCAGAAGCCTCGTTAGGTTTTTCGGACTGGTTGGAAGTGACATGCCAGGGCGGTGATAAAAGTCGTCTGCTGCACTCTTTTTGCTTTCACTGGTCTATGCAAATTGCTACCGGAATTATTCTAAAAAGATTCTCAGAAAATCGTGGCTTAAAAAGGTTAAAACCCACCTCCACAACGGAATCTTTCCATGTCTATTCATTTGAATAATAATCCAGACCATAAAGCTATAAGTCTAGACAGCGGGTAATTAAATAAATGCGTTATACGAATTTAAGACACTGATCGATAAATAAAGGATGTACTTTGTGGAAGATCAATTTATATAGACATTTCTTAGCAATGGAACATTCTTCGCAAGCCTTTGCAAAGCATACTTTACAGAGTTTCAGGAATTTATTTTAATTAAGCGCAAACAAGGCCACGCCCATTCTTTCGCCCACAAATCCAAAAGTCAGTTATTAGACTGTATATATTTGATCGGTCATTACAAATTGTTTCTTTCTATTTCAGAGCTTGTCACCATAAATTTAAATTTTCCGCCAGATGGCGCCACCTTAACCCCGATTCTTGAAATTAAATATGAAATTTATAAGTACATACTATATTTATGCTTTGAAATTCATGATTATTTTAACAGAGATGCCAGAAAGTATTATTATTTCAGCTGATGATTAGTACTTCCACCGTCGCCAAATTAATTAACAATAAAGCCGAGTAAAAGCAAAAAAATAAATGACCTTCAAAGGGGGAGAAGAACTCGCATTTCCCTATTTCCTTCTAGATTTTTTGTAAATTTTTAACTTTAAAAACAAATTAAGTCCTTTTTAACAAAACCTTAATTAAAATCAATATCATTGTTATTTCGCCTGTAATAACTGATTTAAAACACATAATCGCATAATTCAGATTGCAAGTTTTAATTTATTTGGGATTCCCTAAGTACATATTCTTAACTCTAAAACAGCAGGTGAGAGAAGTCTACTTCAAACAAGCTGTTTCCAATCCATGAGTTTCTTAGTGGCGGAGTCGCTTAGTTCTTGCTGGGGTTGGCCTGGATGTAGGCAATGGCCTTGAGAATGGCCGCTGGAATCGGAGGGGGAGTGGGCAGAAGGTCGCTCTGGGGCTGGTATCCGTTCTCGTCGGCCTTGTAGGCCACTCGCACATGGACGCCCTCGGGGGAAATCCACTCGAAGACTCCGTCAATGTTTCCGTGGACATCTCCAGTGGCCGAAGAGGCAGATCCGTCGTCGAGGACCAGCTTGCTCACAAAGCCGTCGGGCAGCACATCGTTGACCAGCTCCTTGACCTCGACATTGGAGTTGGCGGCCACCAGGGCAATAAGGGCGCAGACAAGCAGCTAGGGTAATCCAGGATTAGAAGGCGAACTATCCGAAATCCGCAAGGAATACTTACGATCTTGAACATTGTGATTTGGATTGATTGTCGGACTAGAAAACTTCTGAGACTGATGACAATCTATGCTCGAGTTTCGATTTATATATCTCAAAAAAACTGATGCAATTTGGTTTTATAATTAAGTCAAGATGATGCGGATAATAAAAATCGTCTGGCATGCAAATTAGCCCACTGTGAAAGTATTCTATAGGTGGCTATTGAAAAGGAAAAGTGGCTAAGCACTTGAATATAATTCGGTATTTATATGTATAACCAAAACAAAAAGCAGCTACGCAAAGCAAACCGACCCAGACATAGAATAATTATAAATATGTATATCTTTTTGTGTACACAAATAAGTGAATCCGTAACAAATTAAACTTTTATTTAGCACTTAAAAACAATGTCTGTAGCATAGTTTTCGGTGCCGAAAATTGTCATTTTCACCCCATGTGGAATACATTGACAACTCTGGACAAAAGCTTTAAGCGGCTTTTAACTTAAATGTGACAATTTCAATTTAAACAGTGTCTTCCAAAAGTTTTCCAAGTAATAATATATTTTAAAATGTAATTGCCTTTAAAACCATATTAAAACAGATTAAACCTTCCACTTTATTAGGAACTAATTTTATACTGTTTTCAATACATTTAATGGAATTTTTAATTGTTTTAAAATAGTAAAATTGTTTGACATAAGAACGGGTGCCCCAAAAAGTTTACTGTCTGCTCTTTTTAATTAAAACCACGAACTAAATTTCCTTTCAACTATATAAATATTTCATATAGAAAGTGTTTGAGTTTTATTTCGGAAGATTGAGTACTGGACTTTAAGAATCATCGATGGACACGGAATCCCAGAAACCCGTATTGCACCGCTCCTCACAAAAGTTCTATTGAAGCATGTTTCATTTCGGCATTTCTTCAACAGCGCCGAACTTGTTTTTTGACATTTGTATCGCAGTGTCAAGCGGAGAATTAATGGGCTCTGCCTTTTGCTGGCATTATGGCCGCTTTGTGCACCCGATAACTTAAAATTGTCCAAATATAGGTAATTCATTTTGGCAAGCATTCGGATTAGAAATCATATATAAAGGCAATACCAGAGCAGAGTCAGTTATCAGTCAACGTTCGCTCTCGACCAGACAGAAATCAGCCAAAATGTTCAAGTTTGTGAGTGGCTCACAGGATTGTGATGAACCCATTATTTAACCGGATAACCTTCCTCCATCTAGGTGATGATCCTCGCCGTTGTGGGAGTGGCCACCGCCCTGGCCCCAGTGTCCCACAGTGATGATGTCCACGCCGATGTGGTTTCCCGCTCCGACGATGTCCGCGCCGACGGATTCGATGCCAGTCTGCACACCTCCAACGGAATCGAGCAGGCCGCCAGCGGAGACGTCCATGGCAACATCCACGGCAACTTCGGATGGATCTCCCCCGAGGGCGAGCACGTGGACATCAAGTACGTGGCCGATGAGAACGGCTACCAGCCCTCGGGCGCCTGGATCCCCACCCCGCCCCCAGTCCCGGAGGCCATTGTCCGCGCCCTCGCCTGGCTGGAGTCCCACCCCCAAGCCCCCGAGCATCCCCATCATCACTAAGACCCGTAACTTTGAACCCGGACCGCTCCACGGACTGTTCTGACGAAACGAATCTCCCTAGTTGTTTAGCTGTACTTCTTGATTTTCAAAAAAATACATGCACTTGCTTATAACAGTATAAACTGATTACATTTTTTTTTCTCATTTTTTTGATACCCTTGCAAAGGGTATTATAATTTCAGTCAAAACCTTTATTCTTTATCAGCTATCTCAGCTTATCTATCACTAGAAAAGTCGATCTAGCCATCTCTCCAGTTTATTTGTGGCACCAAAAGAAGCAATCAGAAAAATAAATAAACAAAATAACAGCTTCGCAGTTTTTAAATTTATATGGGTATACTTTTATTTGGATATACTTTTCTATTTCTCAATATAAATTTGTTTAAATGGGGCAAAGATTTCGAAAAGATTAAAATATTCAGCGAAAAATCGACAAAGCTTTATAGTCTGTTAATCGAATTATAGTCGTTTTATAGATTGTATTGTTTTTGTTAAAGCTGCAAGAGTATTCGGCTTCCCTAATCTTGTTTTAGAATGATTTCATTATGAGATTGTTGTTCGACATAAAATATAGTTGAAGTAGTGGTGTTTTTAATTTAATTTGTTTAACAGTTTAATAGCGAAAGGGCTCTACAAGCCATATTAACACATGGTAAGATTTCAATGCTGTTCACCCGATTTCATTAGTTATGGTCACCTGCAATTTGGTTGTCCCATATACCGTATACACCTATAGCTGTTTAGGCCAATTTAGGCTGTTTAGTATCTTGATGATATCTTGATCTGTTAATTCCGCTTTTTGGCAGCACTGTAAGTTTTCTACAGTTTGCATGGTGTACAGGTGTACAGGTGACAACATTCAGTAATTCACATCTGTTAGATAGTCAGAAAGACAGATGTACAGACTTCTTGTCAAACGATTATTTGTCTTGTTTGCCAGTGCCTCTGACCTGGTGCAACTATACTATACAGGTGGCCTCAACCTACGAGCTGCTCTCTTTTGAGGACGTCATTGTTGCCAGTTGTTTGTCAATCGTATGAAAGTGATATGATTGCTATATCTTTCTAGCGCTTGTCTCTGCAAAAATTATCGTTATTAAAATCAGAATACAATATCATTTTGCTGCTTCATAGCTTCAATTTTTTTAAACATATACGCTAATAAATCAAAGCTTTAATGTTATTCAGAATATTTCATTTTTCCAATAGCTGCAAGGGTATATAAATATTGGCTCGTCGAAGTTTGCTTCCTTTTTTTTTTAATAGACTTTAACACAAATATTTTTTTGTTCACAAAACGACATTAATTTTTACTGGTTCCCAAAACCAGAAATTTATTGGTTTTTTTATTATATATTTGTAGGGAGAGTCAGTATGCGGGCACATCTTTTGATTTAGCTCTGCCATACATTGGGAAACGAATAATGTTATATACTTTTTGAAGGCTTGACATTTTAGCTTTAAAATGGAAACAATAGAGTCTTTATCTATAAAATAAACAACAGGAGTGCAACTTTCTTTTCCTTTGTTTTTAGAAGTTTCTACAAGTTTACCCAACTTAAATAAAATGATAAAGTTGGACCTTATTTCATATCATTTTTAAGGACGTCTTTGATCTTTTATTACATTTTTATGATAAGAACCATTTTCACAATTGCCTTAACTTCCGAGGCTCTTTTAATTCATTCATTTATGTATTTTTTTTTGTAAATAATGAGAAGATTCTAAATCTATCGTATGAACTATTAATATCGTTTTAAAATAAAAACAAACTAAAACGAAGTTGCCAATGGGTTTAAGGAAAGAGCGCAATGGTCAAGTTTGTACAACAGAAATAATAGTTAATGTTTGACAAGACATCATGTCCAAGAAGTCGGTGATGTCTTTTGAAGTCGCTAGAGCTTCGATTTTTCAGAGAAGAATCTTGATGGCACTGCAAAAGTGGTTCACGGTTTGACAATGCCAATTCAAGCACAAAGAGGGGAGTTTCTGGAGGGGCGGGGCGAACTCGTTTTGTTTTCGGTACCCGTTTGCCCCCTTATTGATGCGAGTGTTTCATTATAGCATCTATTAAGCGATTATATATAGTACTTATCCCGTTGTTTGGCATTTGCTAAGCTGTCGCCATGTGACGATGCTTTTTAATGGCAGTGGGCGCATCCGCGAAGTCAACCCATAACTCAGAGCCCCAATTGAGTGCAAGATGTAGTATGTATTTGTTTCGGATTGACTTTGGGTTGGCAATCATATAAAAAGGCTTGGCGCGATCAGATGGAGTTATCAGTCAACGTTCGTTCTCGACCAGACAGAAATCAGCCAAAATGTTCAAGTTTGTGAGTTGAGCTAAGAGGACAATTAGTCCCCCCGACCCGAAGATGGTACTCATGTCTATTCATTCCGTTCAGGTGATGATCTGCGCAGTTTTGGGTCTGGCGGTGGCCAACCCCCCAGCACCCCATTCCGTGGGACGCTCCGAGGATGTCCACGCCGACGTCCTTTCCCGCTCCGATGATGTCCGCGCCGATGGATTCGACTCCAGTCTGCACACCTCCAACGGAATCGAACAGTCCGCCAGCGGAGACGTCCATGGCAACATCCACGGCAACTTCGCCTGGATCTCCCCCGAGGGCGAGCACGTGGAGATCAAGTACGTGGCCGATGAGCACGGCTACCAGCCGTCGGGCGCCTGGATCCCCACCCCGCCCCCAGTCCCGGAGGCCATCGCCCGCGCCGTCGCCTGGCTAGAGTCGCACCCCCGGCACCCGAGTACCACCACTAGAAGCCCTCTCTGAAAGCGGATCGCACCAAGGACTGTTCCCTGCATACCCTCGACCTACTAGTTTAAGCACTCTAAATGTTTTTCGAAATACATGCAATTGTTAACGGCAGAAACCAGATCTTGGCTTTGACATTGACTTTGGGCCTGGCACTCAACTGTAACGGTTTCGGACTCGGACTCGGACTCGTTCAACTCGTTCGACAATTCAGATTTACTCAGCTCTTTAGCACGCTAAAAACAATATGCTAATGCATTTGAAATCAATTAAAACGCAAACAATAGGAATGCACGTTCGTAGTATATTGGCAGCCCAAAAAATGAGAATGTAATTACATATATAAAACAAATTGGCTGAAAACTAAAACATATTCCATTTGATGCTATTTATTGGACTTTGACGTGTGATAAAATAAAAGTGCACTGGTAAAAAATATATAAAAAATTTCACAATTTCATGATTGAATCAATTATTTTTCTAACGATTTAGAACAAAATATGAAAATAGTAGATATAAAAATGTCGCATAATAATGTTTAATTCAAACATTATTGTATTTTAATCATAGTAAATATTTTCATATTTAATTTGAACATTTCAAATTTCATTTTCATAACAATTAACATTGAGTTTCATGCTAATATCTTTAAAACTCAAAGACGAACATGGCTAGATCGACTCTCCTAGAGATGCTGATCAAGAATATATATACTTTATCGGAAATGCCACCTCAGAAAGGGTATAAAAATTAAAATAAGGGAATTAAGATTAAGTGAACCAAAAAAAAACGATACAGCAACTCTTAAACTTTTTAAAATCACCATTATTCAAAATCCTTCATCAAAATGTCTGTCAATAAACTTTCTTGGCCTTTGCTTAATATGCAATTTCTAAAATTTTAAATTGTTTTCAAACAGCTGGTTTTAAATAATTTATTTATCACAAAAACTTGTTCGCAATATTCAGAATACATTTAATCTGCCCTAGATTTTAATAGAGCCTGTCGAAAAGGCAACTTTAACATTTTCGACAATTTATCATAACAGAAACCCGATTGAAAAAGAATAAAAACAATATTAAAATAGAATAAAATTAAAAGCTGAATGCCAAGAAGCGCGAATATACAAAATGCAAAGGCATAAAGCTAAAATTTGTCGCCAAGCTGTTAAAACGATAATTTTAACTGTTCTTATTTCTCAATAACAAAGTTCTGAGTAACAAAACCAGTTGGGAGCCGGAATGCGATTTGCATTAAAAGTCCCCAACAGCCCCCATCAAGCTTATGGACAGCATATGGAGTGAGTCCCCAACTGCAACTTTGTTTTAGATGAAGTTTAATGTCAACTTTGCCTCATTAAATATTTCCTCCCTTAACATTACTATAGTTTCCCACAATTTACTTACGTGTTACACAATATATCACAATAAATACAAATGGTTGCGAGTAGCTTAAAGTGCAAACATGTGATTTAACAGTTGGCAAGTTAATACCAACAAATCGGTTTCCATCCCTCTGAAGATGTAATGTGGTTTCAGACATCTTTCCATAGCAGCAAAAGCATGAGATGTAATTAAGTAATTGCCACCCGACATTACTCGTAGTACGGAAAATACTAAGCACATCTGACGCATTGCTTTATTGTTTTAAGGGATGTGGAGAAACCAAATAACGAAGCCTGGGTGCATTTACAAAATTTGTGCACAGTTTGGTCCTAATGAGCAGAGCTTTGTCCAGTGCAGCTGGTATCGTCAGTAAATAAATTTTTTGTTTGCTCGGGAATGTGTATGGTCACTTACTCAATATGCTCGCAATATTCCACTTTGCTAATTAAAACCATTTATTTCCGAAAATGGTGCAAAAACTAGTAGTAACCGCAAAATTCATAAATCAATCAGAGTTGTGAGAATCCACCAACTGGGGTCGTAGTTCAACGCAAACAAATCAAAAAATTATCAATACGAGCTCCTACAGTAGAAGTCCATTCAATTAATTTAATTCGCTGCAGGTAACGACTGAACGGAAATATTTACAAATGTGTTAAGGGACCACAACACGCAACATTTGTATAATTATAGGTATGTGTCGAGTAAACATTTGTCTAAACCCAAATTATTTGGACATTAATTAAATGCCCATTTAAGACTTGCCCACATACACAAAGGCATTCCCATTTAAGCAAGCAAATCACACAGTTGGGGATAAATAAATAGTCTAATTAATGTGGGCTTTCATGTATAGTTTATATTATTACAGCTTTTGTATTTGTTATTAAATGGTGATCGATTTGATGCTAATTATGGAATCCGTTGGCGAATTGAAGTGAGTTCTGTTGTGATCAGCCTGGGAGAAGAGTTCCTCCGACTGTCGAGCGGACCTGGCAGCTCAAGTGCCGCGTGGCGTTGCCTGCGACCGGGAGCTTCGCCTGGCCCCTGACTCCTCCTCATCCGCCGCATCGGCCTCATCTCACTTGCTGAACTTCAGGCCAACTGCAACAAAGCGTGGGCGAAGACAATTAATGAGAGCGCTTTCAACTAATGGTTTTGTAATGAAGCTTGTGCGGAGTGGCTTTCAGTTCTCTGAAGCGATTTCTCCCATATTTCAGCTGAAACACCCACCTGCCGCACTGCGTGGATTCCTCAGCTTGGAAGGCTTTTTGCGTAGCTCCGATTGACCCAGTCCACCACTTGTTCCCGGTCCATGGGTGTCGATTTGCATGCTCTCATCACTGTCCGAAGTCTGGCTCTTCAGCACCTTCTTCAGATTAATGAGCTAACAGGGTTGGAAAGGAAAATGATAATAGAGCATTTTATTTTGTAAAAGCTAACTCACATCTTGTTCCACGCGCTCCTTGTTTAACAGCCTCTTGGATTTCTCGGCGTTGGCGTACTTGATCTGCATTTCGATGCAGTTGGAGACGCTGTCGCAGGAGTTGACCCAGGCCTGGAGGGTTTCCACGATCTGGCCAGTGTATCCTGGCGGAATGTCGCGACCCTGGGCGTAGTCCACCTCCAGAATGCGTGTGTTCTGGAACAGCTTTCCGTGGATGATGTCTGGGTGGAAGATTGAAACGAAAATGAGAAAGTTAGTTAGTTTGCTCCCTGTTGGTGTTGCCTGCCTGCCTGCCCGCCTGCCTGGCAAAGCTTGTTGTCAACTTTTTCTTGACTAATTGCCCGGAACGAACAGTTTCTGAAGTTGGCCGAAGTGTCGCTTGCCCCAAGTGCCAGCTTTGGAGTGCACTCAAGGCCACTGCAACAAGTTCGCAATGGTGCCTACGGATGATGCTAATTGCCACAAAAGAATCCTCTGTAGCGGAAAAGCTGAAACTCTAAGTGGGCGAGCACTAGTAACTGCCAGAAATATAGTTCCTAAAAGTCGGTCTAACGAAAACATCAAGAAAACGCAATTACTTTCAAAGTTGTTTTGTAAGGTACGGCAACAAAAACTTAATGCCATGCACATTTACACAAATTGAATTTGAACCAGAAAAAAATGTTAGTTTACGGACAAATTAATTAATTTCAAACTCCAAAACATAAATGATGTTCAGACGTCATTAAAGTCAATTTAAGGTAAATTTTCTAAGAGAATGTTGTTAGACTTTAAGCTTCTACCAAAACCAATATTCACATTTTCGAAATTAATGATTATTTTCAAATCCTTTTCAATCTACCAACGCAATCAATCACCCATACTTTTGTCCCTCGCAGCAATCGCTGCATACGCTCAATCAATTAAACTGATTAGAAAACTGATAGATGACTGCGAAAACAACAAATTGAAACTGGCTACAAACAAGCAAATGGAAGCTGTAGTAGCATAAATCCGCAAATCCGCACCACAAAATTTCAAATGTAGGGCAAATGTTGCGGTGACCGAAGCACGAACAGTGGGCAATTAAAAACTAACGATTTAACTTTTGTTTTCGATGCTCTGGGGCATCTTTTACAACCGATTGGGAGTGGCTTAGAGATGATTAGCTTTGTTTTTAGACTCAATTAGCAAAAATACGGAAAATGCAATTTGATGCGATGGCCGACATCGGCAGTAGCTTGAGTAATTAATTTGAAATGGCCGCTCTGCGGGATTACAATTTATAACAAGCGGATGGATTTAAGAATCAAGAATCGTTGCTGACAGAATTGTGAGTCAGAGTCCCATTTGAAATGCAATGTCCCGAAAACTCAATGGCTTTACCCCGAACCCCAAACCGAACTGTGGCCCGAGGCTTTAACTTTTCTCGGCCGAGGAAGTGGCTAAGCGACTGCTGCCTCCCCGCTAGCCGGTTTTGGCCATGGCTAAGCCCCAGTTAAGTCCTTGAGCGCTCTTTGCCTTTGACTTTACGACCAGTGGTGTCCTTGAACGAGTGCACAGCAGCGGGAAGCGTTGGTGGACCAAGTTTCTGTGTTTATGGCACCGACTTTGTGCCATAAATATTCACTCAAATATGCGAAGAGATTCAATTTCTGCCATCCACTCGCTCCGTCGCCCAGCGATTTGGTTTGACAATTTCTCAAACACTTTTCTAATTAGCTTGAGAGCTGGCGCAAAATGCTTATTGATTTGACGCCTTCGAGTGCGCTGCGAATAATTGGAATTGGAATACATGACGAAATTCTTGATTCCGCTGTGGTGCGACGCCCAAGCCACAAGTGCTGTAAAATGCGTGCCGCATTCCGGTGTTGACATGTGTCTTGTATTTTCACCCATCCAAAAAATGTGGGCGCCTGCTGTCGCGAGCGGAAAACTCAACGCCAGGACAATCAATCATGCCTACAGCACCGCCCGCAAACTGCGCAAAAAGCCGTTGACGGACAGCAGAATGAATCTTCGGAGCAGCAGAAGGCGATGATGTCAAACCGCTGACGGCTGTGGCTCTGTGGCGCCCGCCGATCAAAATCAAATGGAGGCGGCCATCAAGAGATGAACAAAAAAGATGAATGAATGCACACATGGCAGGCAGACTTATGGAATTTTGACCGACGGTGCGCCATAATGCAGTTACTATTTAAAGTATCTTTACCCAAAAGAAGCAAAACGAATCCGTGCTACGAGTCCATAAATAATACAGAGTAAAAACGCGAATTTTATGTCCAAAAGCTTATATATGAGCAAACTGTAAAACCTTGCCAAAAAAAGAGAAAACCAAATAATCCGAATTCCACCCATATTTGTTTGCAATTTTTGAATGCAATTGGTTGAAAGAGATTTAAGGGACAGTTCTGATTATCTGTTGTTCATATGTGCCTTGAAAAAGAGGTTGTTAAAAAGAAAGTCCCTTATCTATGTAAAATCGTGTGTGTGCAGTTACAATTCAAGGACCAACATAAACTCCTAATTTACTACAAAATATTTTATTTTGAAACCAAAGATATAATTTTTCAAATATTTTCTTTAAACACCATTTTACAATTTACTTGTTTTTTTTTTTAATTAACTAACGCAGCACAAGGACTTCCTTCTTTTGGGATCCGAGTTTATATCACTTATTTATTAAGCCCAGCCAAAGGACTCCTTTGGTACCGCTTTCTTTTTCTGAACACCTGTCGCTGACAGCTTTGCCAACTCTTCAGACATTTCCCCACCTGCCAGCTGTACCAGCAAAATAGAAGTTATTAATTGAAAATCTTCACAAAAACCGAACGACAGCAGCAGCCAAGGACAATGGCACATGATAAAATTTGTAAAAGAGAGAAGCCACCCCAAAAAGTGTTGCCAATTTAGCTTGACACAAGTTGAGTCTGTCTGAACATAAAATTGATTAAAATTACATTTTGCTATTGTTTGTTTCAAACAAAAGGAACACCAGTTTTGCCAGCAGTTATCTGGAACCAATGAAACATAGAAACGATTTTTAGTTTTGGTTGGTACTTTTGTTTTACCTTTCAGGTCTTTTCAAATGAAATTTAGAAGCACTAAACAATTAAATGACTCTTATCATTCAGTGGAAAAGGGTTTGTAAGATTCATAAAAACATTTTCCGGCTTAAGTAGCAAAATGTATTATTTATTGCTTAAGCTACATCGTCTTAGTAATCCATAATTCTCGAATAGCCCACTTTCGACAGTTCTGAACCACACACTGCTCAGTTCACCACAGTCGAGTGGGCTGCAAACTTTTGTCATCAATAGGAGGCAGTGAAAGGCAGCGGGAAAGTTTTCACCTAAAACTGACTAAGTGCCCTACGCAGCCACCCACAGAAACCAGCCCTTTCGAAACTTTTGCCAGCTAACCCAGTGCATTGGGCCTTTGGCGCCGAAAACTATGCTATCAAAAGCAGACGCGCAATCTGAGGGTCCTGCGGAGTAGGACGAGTCCTTATTTACCGCCATAACGGCAAATTATCTCCGAACTGCGTCGCTTTTGAGTAGTCAGCTTTGTGGCAAAATGGGGGCCATTTCATTTAGGTAAACTGGCCCAAAGGCCATCAAAATGTAACAGCTTTTCAGCGGATAAAAGCCGATTTCATGCAGTGCTACAGCCATCGGCATGCTGTTAATTAACCGATTGCGAAACGGGTTTTTACACTTTTTGCGGCACGTTCAGCAAATGTTATGCACAAGTGGCCTGCGTTTACACGTTTTTCACGTGCCGTCGTCACCAAACAGAATCATCCTGCTTCTCTCTGAGTTGCAAATCCCTCAACCTAGCGGAAATGCAAGTTCAAAGGCAGCTTTTTGAGGGCCCTGAATTATGCAAAACTTTTCTTTGACACACAAAAGAAATTAAAGACCGCGCGAAAAAAAACTAGAATCAAGCAGGCGCGACAAGTTCTGCAATTCCCAGAACACAACAAGAAAACTAAAAGGGCGCAGCCCAAGTGGAAAATCCGTGGCACTGCTCCCAAATGTGGTGGCGTTGGGTTTATGAACATGTTTCGCTTAATTCCCAGAGATACTCGGAATTCTATTGCTGGTGCACGGGTATTTGTGGCAGCGAGGCTAGATTCGAGGCAGTTAACAAAATATTCGGAGATGGCGAGGATATTAACATACAAACCCAGTTTTAGAGCAAATCCACAAAATGCATGCTATCAGCATTTCTGCGAATTTGTATGATGCAGTAATTTGTGGTAGCGTTTGTTACACGATTTCAAGTTTCTCGGAATTCAAGTAAGCTTCTCATATTTCGGGTTTTGTAGCGTTGGAAATATAATCACAATTTATGTTATTTCCATTTAAACGCAGAGTCCTTTAAATAATTCCAACCAATTGGATAAAAATTAGTTTGCTGTCCATATAAAATTTGTTGGTGCAGCACAAATAAAAAGTATCTCTGAGTAAAACTTTCAACAAATTTTATGGGAAATTACTCGTTTTTATAAAACTAGGTAGCATTTTACTTAATATGTAAGAGAGTAAGGGATACATTATTTATTTAATATCCAATTGATACTTAAGATTTTTTGTGTATCGTGTAAGTAAAACTAAAAGACCATTGCGAAATATATAAAACTGAAAATACAAATGCTTGTTTCTCAAAAATATTTTTTGCACTTCAAATCTAGCACATCAAACTGTGAGGGTGAGGTTCCTTTAGAGGACCCTCCTAATGTACATATATCTATTATGCTCTCCAAGTCCTACGTTAAGCCAAATCAATCAAGAGCTGGCACACTAATGGAACCAGCCGAAATAAAGTTCAAGCGAATTTCAATTGTAGAAGGCATTTAATTACCATATCCCCATTCCCATTCCCATCCTTATCCCCGTACCATCGTCCTGCGAGACAAATGATGCTCTAATGGGATGACCTGGAATCGCGGCCGAGGGAACCGCTCCACCTGCCCGCCGGCTAATGGCTGCCCCCGTTGCCAACTACATTAAATTGCGATGTCAGATTACGGCGCCTAATAGAACGCAATGATTTCGCATTCCGCCGAGCACCAGGCATCAGGCATCAGGCATCTGGCACTTGCCCTCCTGCCACGCGAAAAGACGCCCTAATGATGGCTATCATAACATAAATCTTGGCTGGAGCGGGGGAATTTATTTGTCTGTTCATCGCCTGGATTTGGAAAGCAATTAGGAGGGCCAGGTGAGACGATGTTCTGATCGCTGGTCCGAGGGGAGCAGTTATTAATGGGACAGATGGCGTTGAGTTGTCACTTTATTTGCTCACATAATGGACGGCCATTGGACTCCATTAAAAACTGCTGAATGCTATTTACTTTCGCCTGCCCTCAAATATTCTCGGGCCCCCATGTTACGGTCCCTGTTTGGTTGGTGCTATGCATCGAGTGGACACTTGTCGGAAGCCGCTTTAAACCCACCACTAACACTGACCCAAAATCCGCCCCAAGGGTTTGGCTTGGTTTCCTGCCCCAATATTATGCAGCCTCAGATTGTTTTCGTTTCGGCCCATAGATCACGGCAAAAGCTCAAAAATCAACAGCACCAACAAGTTTAGCACTGCATTCGGGGGGCGTAAGTATGCTTACACGAGCGTTGTTTCCGAGTGCGATGTTTGGGCCCCGGCTTCTGGGTGTAGCGTTTGATTTACGGCTTTCGACAGACATATGCAGAACGAAGTCGGGGTACAAGTGGAAAGCATGTAAATTATGCAGTCAGTGCCGGCGGCAATGATACATTGAAGGCATAAATTCGATAGCTTGCACTACATCGAAAAGCATGTTATTTGCCAAGTTAATCCAAACGCAATGTGCCATTAACATTCGGCAATGGGAAACTCATCGTTTGAAATAATCGACCATTTAGTCTTTTCTCTTTCTGATTTGGCAAAACTAGTTTTGCAATTTAATTTAATTTTAAATACTTTTCAAATCCCTTCAAATTAGAAAAGTTAAACTTTACGCTGTGTGGGCACTTTTTTCACTTCACCGAAACGACCTCCCCACACTGGCGACTATTTAAGACTATTTCAAGAAGTGTTCCGCTAACCCTAGACCTAAAGTCAACTTTTTATGTGGCAATTAGGGAAGTTTGACTGTAGGGCGGCCAGCGAAGCGCGTAGCCGAGAAAGGAAATCAGCGAGGCAAAAGTGTTCATCCAGCTGACGACGTTGGCAGCCGTAAAAACAGTTTTGCCCCAGGGTTTGAGCAGAGGGGAATCAACTGGTGGGGCGCCAGTCCGACTGGCTTAATGAATCTCACTGAGCATGAGCCCAGTTCCTCCGTCCAATTGTTTTCGCTTTCCAGGATGCGCCAGCTGTCCCAGCTAATCAAGTGCATTGCCCAAAGGCTGGCGAATGGTTTCCAGGAATGGGATGGCTGGTCCTGGTGCTGCTATTTGAGGGGTGGTGCTAGGTGGCAATGGCTTTGCGACTGCTTTCACAGCTGCTAGGCCGCCGGCGCGGGTGTAGAGCCACTCAAAAATGCTAATTGAACGACGGAGTCGCTCACTCGTCGGTGAGAAGTAGGATTAAATTAGCATTGATTTAATAATGCAAACTACAATGGGGAGGCAGAGCAATGAGATTTCTCAGCCAGACACTGAATCTTGTGAACTTTTGGCTTGAAACTATCAACCGTAATAAACTGACTGTTGAGTTCAACCTCACAGATTTGCTATGAATTAATTTTAACAAGAAGAGTACAAGAAACATCTTTCAAGCGAAAGTAGAATAGTTACGAACTATGCAAATCGATATCCACTTTACCCGTTCTTAATAAATCTCGTTTTTTTATTTAAAACAATTACTGGCTTGTGTCCCGTTAAGTATTAAGCTTTTTGGAAAATTTTACACATTTAGTAACGTTTTTATAATTTTTCACTACGAAAACCAACAATTTCGAAACTTCGGAATTAAACACTGAATTGGGAGAGGTACTATTCGCTCACAACCAACTACCCAATCAAAATATAAGGAGATTTTCACAGCGCATTTAAAGTAATACCTTATATCCTCTAAATTGTATAAAAATATATTTAAGTTTAGATAGTTTTTAGCCTTCTAAATAGTTTTTAGACTTCTAAGTGGGCTTTGATGGTTTTTTTAATTGTGTAAAATATATTATAACATTTACCTTGAAACTAGTGCAGTTAGAATCAGCTATATGCTTGTAGCACTAGAGTAAATAAATAATATTAAAATAAAAAAAACATTAATCGGGCACAAGCTAGAAGAATTTCTGTGTATCTTCTAAGGAACCGTAAATCAGTGTAAAATGTTATTATAGATGATAGTATAAACCATGCCCTCAACTGGAAATAACTTTTGGATATGTTTCCTCTTGACTAATTCCATTACACCAGTAGGGAATAAAAAAAAGGCGGAAGAATATTCTTGCAAAGGCTTTTTCAAGATTCCCAAGTTCGTGCCCAGGCTCACCTGCGTAAATGGCCTCGATGATGATGTCCTCCAGGTGCCGGACGTTGTCGATCTCCAGTTCGCTGAGGAGCAGGTCGTAGGGGATGCTCTTGGCCTTGATGGCCAGTGAGACGATGGTCAGGTGCTGCAGCTTTTTCTGCATGGCGGGACTCAGATCGATGTATTTGTCCGGCTGGGCGCGGTATTCCTTGTAGGTTCCGTAGGCGAAGAGGTTAAGGGACTCGAAGTGCTTGGCATTCGGACCGTCCTTCAGCTGCATTTGGGTGGGTAGTAAGGGATCATGGAGCCAGCACAGGTTTAATTGATGCAATTTACCTGCAATACGGAGGGTTCCGCAAGTAATTCGCCGAAAACAAAGACGTTTGGGGCTTCCAGGGCCTGCCGAATCACGTCCAACAGGGCGGCACCTTCGGCCGACTTCGCCAGGACGCAGAACTTCTCCAGGAATGTCTCCTTGCTCTTGCTCGGCTCCTCGTTGCCAAGCAGCATGTCCTGAGTCATTTTGGTAGCGGTAGTTTGCCTAATTTACGCCGATTTTCAAGATTGTTTTGGTTTTTGCAAGAACAAGCATTAGCGGTGGGAAAACTTCGATGCCATCATCGGTGTAAGCGATGTTTTCAAAATATCGAACCTATCGATGTTTGGCAGCTAACATCGATGTTTTACCATCTCTAAAGAAGAAATGTTAACTTTTCACTCCAGTTCTTGCGCTCTGGTTTCACTCCATTTGTTGAATACCCTTTGTTAAATGTATTATCTACTGGTACAATATAATAGCTATTTAACAACACTCATGTACAAAAGCTAAGCAATGTTAACGATGTGATCAATTTATTTGATTTAGTCATTTGGCTTCAAATACAGGAGGTGATTAAAGATAAGCCTTTGCAAAAGTATAATTAGGCCTGGTACTTACGAAACTAATTGATTTAACTTTACAAAATTATATTTATTTGTTGTACGCTTGCAGTGAAGTAAATAACCACTCATTTTTCATTGTTCCTGTTTTAAAAAATAGTTTTTCGATGAAAAATAAGTTGCAGTGTAAATATATAAAACACCATATACTGTCACATCGACGCCTTGCCAAAGCTGACTGCTATGAAAGTAGGCGGCAATTTTAAACGGTAGGAAATTTGATTGAAACCTGTTGAAACTTATTTTAAACTTAAAGTTTCCGTAACCCAAACCACAGATGCCAACCCTTTCATTATGCTTATGATTATTTTATGTTCTTCAGTTATATCCACTCCTTCCACTGTTTTTTCAGATAAGAACCAACCATTTACACTCACCTCTTGAAAATGTTAGGTCATTATGCTTTAAGCCGGGCAGCCTCATTTTAAAACACTTTTCGCACAACATTCACTCTGCCAGCACACCCAGACACACCTCCTGGGGATATTAAAAAAAAGGGAAAAAACGAAGAAAAGGATGAGCCCAAAAAATATATATTCTTGAGCCATTTCGGGCTGCCAAAACTTTGCTCCAGCCACACTTGTTATTATCGCTGTGGGGAATGGGCGGATATAGAAATACAAAAAAGGCGCAGGGTCAAAGTTGAAAACCCTTTATTGTGTCTGGGGGGTTTGGACGCGACGTGGGTGGGATGCCACCCTCTCTATACGAGATTCGCCTGCTCATCGATTATGAAAAGTTAACTAAAGGTCAGGGCCCCTTGGGAAAGCACACAGAGATCTCCGGAAAAAGGTGAGCCGAAGCCTTAAAGCCACTTTGTCAGTTTTGAAACTGCCCTTCACCACACACTGTATCCATTATCACGACACGCTGTTTGTTGTTTTGCTCTGCTTTTCAGGTGCCTCTTACAACGGCGGACACTTGAACAGAAATTGACCGGACTGTTTCGCAATTTTTCCAATTGGATTGGCACGCCTACCCACGCCACAGCCCCCCCAACATTTTATTGGATTTGCCAAATTTTGCCAGTACGCAACCATTACAAAATTGGTTGTGATTTTGTTTCCGTTTCGCCAGTTGTTCGGCAGTGGATTTCCTTTCCGCTTCGGGTCGAACTAGTGCATGTACCAATACCGGTAGCCGACCGTTTTTCCTGCGGTGACGGCCACCGGAATTGCATCCGTGATTAGTTTGCCATGTGCGTTTGAAACATTTTCGGAATAATGCCAAATCACAATGCCTTCGCTTCCCTCGCATTTTGCGGCCTGCGTGTGCAATGGTTCGCCCATCGTGGATTTTCGCTTTTGAGCCGTAAAAAAACCCTTGGGCCATTCTTGCGATATGGTCTGGTAGATGGACCACTAATGGTCAGCAGGGTGGTGCAGCAGTTATTAAAGGAAAATATCAAAAAGGATCTTATTTTTGCCATGGTAGAGAAATTGTGAACTTTGCTAATATGATTTGAGAAACAAAAAAGAAGACATTATTTGATAATAATTTAATTAATTTTGCAGTAAGACTACATAAATTGGATAGTAGAAACGCAAATTAATTGCCTAAAAAGTGGAGAAACAATAGTTAAATTTTATATACCTTTGGAGAACCTGTGCACAGGGTAAACTACAGTAGAATTAACGCTTCGCAGTCGATTTTCACATTTTTGGAAAGCTCTTTGTCATGCTCGCAAACTTTCCTCGCTCAGCTTCATGTTCTACTTTTTGTGGATTTTACTTTGTCATTAATTTGACGCACAATGAGTCGGCAGTTGGCAGGTTTTTCGGATGTTTGGCTGTTTGGCTGTTTGGCTGTTCAGTTTGCCGGGATTTCACTTCTATTTTCGAGATTACTGAAAGAAGGCTTTCAATTTAATTTGCGGGTAAAGCATTGCCGTCATTTGCGAGATTCACATACCCCTGCCCCATCCGTTTGACACTAAGCTTTAAAATTAATTACACTATTTCACTTTCGAATCTATCATCGGCCTGCACATAAAAATCCTCTGTGGAGTACGCCCTTGCCACGCCCCGACAATTTGCTTACTAGCCCATAAAAATGTATGAAAATAAAATATATATAAAAACAGCTCTAGGGCGCCCAAATGGCCACATAAAAGAACTCAGCTCTGCGAACGCGCCCCGCATGCAAATGTCTGGTTTCGACATCGCACTGTTATACGCGTATAACAGTGTACTAAAACGTATCATTGCCCCCGCCTCGGGATTTTGGCCACCAGCTGTGGCCTTCACTTTCGCGTTTGCCTCGCCTTTGGCTTATCATTTTTTATCGGCAGGACAAAGACTTGACCTTCCCACTGAGTTTGTCGCTCTGCTCATTAGGACTCAAATTGCTTTCCCCGTCTGCAACTGTGTGTGTTTGGGCACTAAAAAAAAAAAAAACCAAACTAAGAAATTGGACAAATGGGGAAATTTGTAAAAAACTCAAACAACAGAAGCACATTGTAAAACTGTTTTTGAATCAATCAAAAGTATTTGATAGTACCAAAATTAAAATTTATAAACTTATACTTTCTAGTTGCTTTTTTGTTGAAAATGTATTTTACGATTTGTTCTTGTTACTTTACCACTTTATCACACTTTATCAATTTAAATTTTAAAATAATATAATATAATAATAATATAATATTATAAATATTTCAAAATATATTTAAGAACTATCCAATTCTTACATTGTTGGTTGAAGCTAATAGAACATTGAAATTAGTATCCTTATCCCATTATGGGGAATAACAATAGATGTTAGGCAACCACAAGTAGTTTAAATTAGTTTGAGATCGCACTACAGAATGATAATTAATTGGAAATTGGCAAGCCCAATTAGCGTTTCAAGCACTTTTTTCTCAATGTGTTTTGCCTGCTATTATTCGGCTTACTGAACGTATTGTTATTACTGCTGAGGCAGTGGGTCCGGTCCGGAACGCTTATCGATGCAAATGACAAGCGGCCGGAATACTTGTACAACTTGTCCCATTTTCCCGGAACGATGTTAACTTGACCCAAATCGTGCGTTTTTTATCCGCTAAACAATTCCACGGACCCTGCTGGCCATGGACTTAGGAAAAATGCCGTACAGAAATACTTGGTATCAAACAAGAGCTTTGAAATCGCTTCATTCAACGAATGCAGTTAAAGGTTGCACAAAAACTGATGATACAAATTCCCTTGCCTGTGACAATTTATCAAGGATTTTCTTTTACAGGCGAACTTTGTTGCTATGAGCGGAAAAAGGGAGAAATTTCTATGGCGAAAGGGAAGTAAAGTAAAGCAAAGTAAAAATGCAATTTTGTATAAAGTTCTCGGTCGTGGACAGCGAAAACTAAATGCAGATACGAAAAGAGACCATGATAGTTAATTTGAATAGGAAATTTCCCAGATATCATTCCAAATAAACATCGAGTGTCTCAATTAGTCGGCAGAGTGAAAGCAAACGTTCAATGGAATTGCAGCGATAACAATGTCAAATCATATTTCGTCACAGCGCTCACAGGAGTCACACACAAGCTCACACAACCGCAAACAGGATATGGAAAAATCTGCAACACAATTCCAAATCTATTCGAGCATGGCATATTATTAGAACGCTTTTTGTTTATTTCCGCCAGCGAGTGGGAAAAATGGGAGGAAAACTACTTGGCAATGGGGACGACAAAACACAAGGATACAAACCGATGTTGACATGTGCCAGGCACAAGGATAACGGGTGCTGGTTGCCACAACCGATAAGCAATTTGGGGTTTTGCCAGCCCACTTGTTGCCAATGCAATCAATTCAGCTTGTCGCAAATTATTTCAAGACACAACACGGGCCAACAACGAGTAGGTCCTTTTTTGTAACCAGAGGCAACAAATTTTCAATCTTTTGATTTGATTTTATATGTTACTTCTTAAGAGGGCCCATTTCTGTTGTAAAATAATTAAGAATTTTTATTGCTTTTGTAGGCATTGATTACCTAAAAAAATGTGCAATAAATTTAAGCCAGGCCGATAAAGTCTTTATGGCTAACTTAAAATGTGGAATACCCTTCCTTGCGCAATTTTGCGAAACTAAGCTGCCTTTGCTTCTAAAAGTAATTGAAAGACCAAAGCTTCTTGTTAACCTTTTTTACATGCTTTTACCCTCTATCAGCTAAGCTCCAAAGAGGCTTCGGATGACAGTCTATACCTTAATTTATCTAATGTCTCTGCCGATACCCGATCGACATTTTGTTATTCATCGCAGTTTGAAGTGTAACCGGTGAGCACTTTCACTTTCACTTTCACTTTCCACCTGTCAGTAAACGTAATCCCTGCTGCTGGAATGCCGAATAGCCGAAAAGCCGCTTTTGTCGTGTAATCGAGAACTTAAACATTTGGAAAATGGCTGGGGAGCTAAGCCGACGACCGGGCCATCAATTTCAATCTGCATTCGTCTATTTTTGGGGCACATGTAAGCACCTGACAATGTTGGGGATGTACGCCGTTTGTAGGGTTTGTAGGCAGTCCCCGGGTTTTGGATAACGAAATTGATGAATCTGTTTTGCCGCTGCCGTTGCCCCGCACAACAAACAAGCTGGACGTCATAGAGCAGGAAGTGTGTGTGTGGAGCATTATCCCGCCGGAGGAGCGAACAAAAAACCTATCAAAACAAACGATAATGCCCGGGCTTGATGATGAGCAGGAT